TTGTCTCAAATAGCCCCTGCTTCGGCCCCCGTCCCTTGCCGGGCCGACAGGTGCAGGGACGGTGCTGGCCGGGGGGATGGGGCGGGCAGATCCTCTTTCCCTGCTTCCCAGGCCCAGCTGAGTGCATCCGCTGTTTCGGAACGGAGGGCCCCGTGGCCTGCGGAAGACACAGGGGCCGGCTCCTTGCCCAGCCACAGTGACCTGCGGCCACCCTCCCTGCCAGGCTGGGCTCTCCGGGGCGTCAGGCAGGACTGCACGGTGGGGGCAGCGGCTCTCGCATGGGGAGCCGGGGCCTGGGGCTGTGCAGGCCACGGAGACCCCCCCCCCGAGGAAGCTGTGCGCGCCGGTGTGCCCGGAGGCCGGCGGGCTGGCACAGTGCCCCGCTGGCATTTGCAGTCGGAATGGTTCGCCGGCTCCTGTTTCCCCTCTTCCTTTTCACGCCCTTTCAGGCGGTCTGGCATGACTAAACCCCCTTTTATGCCTCGGGCCCTTCCCTTTGTCCTGGGCCCAACCAGCCTGCAGTAATGCGGCCAACAGTGTTTGCACAGGAAAATGCTGCCGTGACGAATTCCACTGTGGTCTGTTGCCCCGGGCGGCGTGGCTGCGACGCGGCGGTGGCAAGAGGCGAGTTTCCCACCTGGGCGGGGGCGGGGCGCCCGTGGCAGCACCCGGCTGGCCGGAGGAGGCGGTGTGGCGGAGCCGCCGGGGGAGCAGTTGCCCCGTTCCCGGGTTGTTCTCTGTAGGGCCGGCGCAGAGCCCACCTCCCCTCCCGGGCACACGCTCAAGCTCTTCTCGGGGGTCACGGTGGCCAGCTGTCCTGCCCCCAGGTCGACTCACACTGTGGGGCTGCAGGAAGCCCCCTGTGCGGTTTGGGAGCCCTTGATGCGGCGGCAGGCGGCGGCTTGTGGCCGTGCTGCCCCCCCTCCCCCCGTGAGACACCCTCGCTCATTTGCAGGTCCTTGGAAGGAGCCAGGCGCTGCATTCCAGCAGGCGCTCTGCCCGCTGTCGACATCCCTCCCTGGGCTTGGGGGTCCCCTCGCCTCCCGCTGCTCCTTGAAGGAAGAGATGGAGGCCTTGGGGTCACTGGCAGGAAGCCAAGTGGCCCCGGGCTAGGTAGCAGCCCCGGGCACGTGCCCCCCCCCACCGAGGAGCTGGAAAACATGCCCCTCCTGCCACACCTGGGGGGGCAGCAGGCTCCGGGGGGGGCTGTTGCACAGCCAAGGGTGCGGGTGGGGAGGGGAGCCCTCCCCGGCCTGCCTCACCCTCCCCGGCCTGCCTCACCCTCCCCGGCCTGCCTCACCCTCCTCCTCCTCCCGCCAGCTGTGACCTGGCACTGGCATCGCTCCCCAGGCTGCGACTTGGCCCAGGGTGCTGCGGTTGGCTTAGCTGTGATCCTGGCAGGGCAGCCTCTGCTCGCAGCCCTGCACCCGGGGAGGCTTCCTGCAGCCGGGGGTGGGGGGGGGGAGGCAGCGGGCAAGGCCCAGCCTGGGAACATTCCTGCGCGGCGCTGGACAGACCGAGGGCGCTGCCCAGCCCACCTTCCCCCGCCAGGCGGGCCGTGTCGGGTTTCCTCCGCCCCGCTCCTGCCTTGGGCACAGGCTGCCTCCCGGCGAGGTCAGGTGGAGCGCTGTGGGGTGGGCGGGAGCTTTTCCGTGGGGCCCCTCTGTCGCTGCTCCGGCCTCCTGGCTCAGGAGGGGGGCTGTGCCTCTGGCCCCACGGCAGGCGGCATCAACCCCAGACGGGCCCTGCCGCAGGGCTGCGGGTGCCCAGAGTCCCCAGGCGGGTGGGCCGCAGGGCCGGAGCCCCCCTCCTGGGGGCCCCCGGTTTCAAGGCGCTCGTAAGCTGCAGGACTTGCTGCCGCAAGAAACGTGGGGCGTGTGGGGTTGGCCTTCTTGTTGGAAGGGAGCCGTGCCTCCGCTTGCGCCATCTCCTGCCCAGGCCGCCCTCCCACCGGCACCGCAGTGCAGTCCACCCAAAGCACGGACTGCCCCCTCGGACCAGCATCCCCGGTCTCCACCCCGGAAAAGGCACGGGAGCTGGCGGCCAGCAGTTGGAACTTGGCCGGAATGGCCATAGAACAGGGCCTTGCGTTACGACGGGGCACGGATGACAGCGGCACCGACACCCCCCCCCCCCCCGGCTTGCCTGAGCCGCACCACTCTCTCTGCCTGCAAGGGGCGGGGCAGCAGGGAGCTCCGCCTCCCTCAGCAGGGTCTGCGGGGCCAAAGCAGCCCAGGAAGGCCCCCTCGCGTCCCAGCCAATGACCCCCGACACTCGTGAGGCTGAGGGGTGGCCCCCTGCGGACCTGAGCCAGGCAAAGCCATCGCCTTCCGAGAGCCGCTTTGTGGGGGGCACTCGGGAGACCCTGGGGCTGACTGCGTGTCCTGGCCCTTGGCTCTTTTCGGGTTGGGAGGCTGCCGGCCCTCTGCCTCCCTCCCCAGCTCAGGGAATTGGCCGGGATGAAGTCACGGCCCTCCGCCAGGCTGCAAGATCTGCAGCGCAGTGGCCAGCTGCAAACCTCACGTCCCGCTCCCAGAGGGCCGTGCCGAGGACGAGGACGGCCCGGCGGCCCTCCTTCCTTCCTGGCCTGGCGGCCCGCGAGAGCCGCCCGCCACAGGGCTCCTTGGAATCCGCCTGTGGGAGGCTGGCGGGATGAGCTCACGCTCCCCCCGCCAGCCAGCCAGCCGGCCGTTGGGCCTCGGAGATGACTCCTCGCTCAGCAATGCCTGTGAGGTGCTTGCCAGGAGGCGCTGCAGCTGCAAGGCGGGAGATGGAGACCGAGATGGCCGGCCGGCCGGCCAGTCAGCCGGTGCAGGGCTCTCCTGTGAGCAAGCTGCGGCCGCGGCCAGCTGGCCATGTCGCCCTTCGGCAGAGGTGGCCGCAGGAATGTTCGCTCGCTCGCTCGCTCGCTCGCTGGTGGGCGTGCACTCGGCCTGAACCCGCTCACCTCCCTGAGCTGCCGTGCAAACGCACAATGCATCCTTGTGTGACCGCGGGATACGTGCGCGTGCGCACACAGCCTGGCCGACGCGGGGCCTTCCCTCCATGGGGCCAGCCCCGCAGGGGCGCTGCCGCTCCGTTCTGCCGCGGTTGCAGAGGGTGCCCGGCGCCCTGTGCGCCTCTGGTCCGGCCGACGGAGCTCCCGAGGTTTGCCCAGGCAGCCTCAGGCCGTTCTCGAGGTTGGCTCTGGCAGAAGGGCTGGAAGCCTCACTTTTAAAAACGAAGAGGGAATCCCCCTGAACTGCAGGGGGTGCCCTGCCCCTGGCCAGCCCAGGAAGAGGTGGGTGTGAGGAGAGAATGACCTCACAGTCCAAGAATTCGCACTCGCAGCCCCATGAAAACCCCCAAGCCGCCTGGCTTTGTGAGCCTTCGTGTGTGTGTGTGTGTGTGTGTGTCAAAAGCTGCCCGTTTGCCTCTCCAACCAGCACGGACAGCCAGGAAGGGTAACGGTGAGAAACGAACGGGGGAGGCACGGGGCAGTGGAAAGGGCCAGCAGAGCGTTCTCCTCAGCTGGCCCAGGTCTGTTTATCTGGAGAAAGAACAACGACGTACGCACTGAGCCCGAAGGTCAGGCAGGGAAAGGGGTTCAGCTCCGGAGCCCAGATGTGTGCAAAACAGGAGCCGTAACCCTGGGAGGCGGTACCGCGACCTTCCTTGCATTGCTGTGCTGCATTTAGCACCTGGCTGAGCACTGAACAGAAATTCTGATTCTGCATTTCACATCGGCATCTCCTCCTGACAAACGCTGGTTTCCGGGTCTCCCGCAGGGCATCCCGGGAGAGCGAAGGGTTCTCCCGCCGGTTTCGGCATGTTGCCACCTTTGAACCTAGACCTACGTCCTTTTAAGCTTCTGCGCAGCTCCTGGCCCCCTTCACTGAGGGCAAGCGGTGGCGCGTTTTGTGGTGGCTGAATTCGGTCCTTCTGGGAAGCATGCTGGGTGCCCTGTGTGGGGGAGGCGGGGAGCGCGTGGGCCCTCCAGCCTGAGGCTCCCTAGTATTGCTGGCTTCCTGTAGCTCCGTGTTTTCCGCTCCATAGTGGATATTTTCCGGGCAAGGGGAAAATACTGAAGGGTCAAAATCTGGTGACAGTGGCTTTGGAGCCCTGCCACAGACTTGCACCAGCAAGGCAGGAGAGGAGACCCCCCCTCCCACCCAGAGCATTTGCAGAGGCAAGAAATGCCCCCTCTTCCTTCGGTCCTTGGCTTTGTGCTCTTTAAGGTGGGGGGGGGGTGCTGAGAGCCCTGGTGGGGGCTGGGATGCAGGCGCCCTGCGCATCCCCAGTGTGTGCGGCTGGATTGCTGCCCCCCAGGCGGGGCCCCGTGCTGCATCTTCCAGGGCTTTGTGCCCCCTGGGGCCTGCATCCCACACACCTGCCGGGCACAGTGGAGCTGGGCTGTGGCGGGGCAGGCATCGCGCCCGGAAGCCAAGCCACGCTGGCAGCAGGCAGGCCAGAGAAGCTCCGTCCTGCAGGGGGGACCTTCTGCCTGTCAAGCAACCCCTGCTCTGCTTTCTGTGGCAGGCGGCCGGTGCCTTCCAGCGACCGGACGAGGCGTCCTTCCCGGAAGACACCGAATCCGAGGCAGTGCGCCGGCACTGGAGGAGTGACGCCGGCCTTTCCGACGACGAGGATCTGTTGACGGACGAGGCTTCTGGAGGTGAGCGCTGGCACAGCGGGCGGGACAGGGCAGGGGTGGAGCGGCCCTCCCTCCTCCCAGTCCTTAGCCGGGGCCCCGGGCCAGCTGGCGGAGCGTGGCCTTCTCGGGGTGCGTCGCTGTGGAAGCACCTCCGTGGGCCAGGAAATCCCCCTGCCTTGAGTTGTCACAAGGGGATTTCCAGGCCGGGGGCGTGAAGGGGCGCCCTGACAAGCTGCTGCTGCTTCCCGGGGCCTCCGTGCGGATGAGCTTCCGTGGGCCGGGGCAGCGTGTCCCTTGGGAGCCGTCGGCCACTCCGCATCCCTCCGTTTGTGACACCCGCGCGCCTCTCGGTTTCCCTTGCAGATGGCTACGGAAGTGGGGAGAACGGCAGCGGGACAGTTATCCAGACCAAGCCCCCCCTGGTGGGCCAGCTCCCCTTCCCCACAGGTAAGGGGCGGGCTGAGCCGGCAGGGGGCGTCTCGGCCGACCGGCAGTCTCTGCTCCAGGAGGGCAGCGGCTGGGGCGCCAGTCCGGAACGCCAGCACTGGCAGCCTCGCTCCCTGCTGTTTCTTCCGGGGCCTTGTGGGCTGCCAAGCCCTGTTGGTTGCTAGCTGAGGCCTGTAGCCCCCCGGCCTTCCCGGCAGGCCCCGGGAGGCGCGCCGGCTTGTGGCCCTGCCTCCCATTGCAGGCCCGGCAGGACGTGGCAGGGGCCCTTGCGTGGGCGTGTCCAGCTCTGCGTGTGCCTTCGTCAACAAGCCGCCTTGAGGAGGAGACCCCCGAGGCGGGGCGGTGGGCGGAGGCGGTGCCCAGGTCCTGGAAAGGGGGCATCCAGCTACCCTGGGCCGTCACTCCCACCCCCTCCTTCAACAGACTGTGCAGGGCGAGAGGAGAGAGGGAGGGTAGGGGCAGAAAGGCCCGGCAGGGTTACAGGGCTCCCCGTGAGTGAGGCTGGGCAGGAGCACCAGCGAGACCTCCCCTTTGCCTCCCGCTGTTCCTTTGCTCTTCTTCCTGCCACTCAAGCGCATCTGCAGCTTGGCACTGCTCTGTCCCGAAGAACTGCAGCCTGCCTTCCTCCATTCCGCCCTTCTGGCTTCTTCTCTTCCACTCCTTCTCTTCTCTGCTCTTCTCCCTTTGGGCTCTCCTCTTTCCTTCCTTCATTCCTTCCTTCCTTCCTTCCTTCCTTCTCTTCTCTCTCTCCTCTTCCTTGCAGACCTCCACCCCGCTCCTCCTCCTGTGGGGGTCCCAGCCCCTGCAAGCATGACCGTCTCCGAAACAGACGATGACTCTCAGCTCAGTAAGTGACCTGCCGCCCCGCCGGGGGGAGCTGCACGCCAGAAGAGGCCGGGGCTGGCCAAGGGCAGGAGGAACGCGGGGTCCCCGGCACGCGTGGACCCAGCCGCTGGCTGCTCCTGACGCGCCGGCTCCAGGGGCTTCCCAAACGGCTGAACCCCTTTCCGCCTGCGGGCCGAAACGCCTTCTCGTCGCTGGCCGAAAGAGCGTGGTGCGCATGCTTGGACAGAAAGCATTGTGTGGCTCCCACCATTCCCAGGTCGGGAGGTTCCTCCCTGCCGGGGCACCGCACCGAGCTCTGAAGCTGAGACGCGCTGGCATTTTGGCCCTGCCTCCGCTGCCCCCGGCCCGCTTCCCCGGCACGTGGCCCCCAAGCACTTCTGCGGAGTGAGAGCGCTTCAGCACGCCTGGCCGGGAGCGCGCGAGGCCCATGCGTTCACCGCCCCCCTAGCCCTGCCGTTGCCCCCAGACACGGCCGACAGACGGGGCCTGCAAGCGCCGGCGACCCGGTGTGGCCACTGGGCTGCGGCGTGGCTTGCTGCCTGGGCTGGCAGCCCTGGGGACTGTGCCCGCCCGCCGCCCGCGGGCACCGTGCAAGACTCGCGCGCATGAGCACGTGCTTCGGGCCAAGGAGAGGGAGCCCGGGGCGGCCGTGGCCTCGGTGCCCCCAGAGAATTCTCGGGTCAATGCGAAGGAGCTGCTGGAAGGGAGTTTCCATGATTCAGGGTGAGCTGCACCCTCCGGATCCGGCGCACGTACGCCTGCGGCAGCATCCCCGGCTGCCCTGCGTGTGGGGGGGGGGCGGCGGCTCGGGCCGGAGCGGCTGACTCAGCCGGCAGGCAGGAAGGAGGCGCCGGGGCTGTTGCTCATTGTTCTCCGCGGCTCAAAGCGATTTTCCAGCTCGGCCTGGCCTTCCCGGGCGGCGGCAAGCCCGAGGCAGAGAGCAGGTCTCCTTAAAAGGAGCCAGAAGTGGAGCGCTGGCTTTCACGGCGCAGCAGCGACTGCCTCGGAGGCAGGGCCAGGGATCAGCAGAGGGACTGGGGGGGAGGAAGGGGGGCGGCTGGAGGCCTGGCCGCCTTTCTCCATGGGGCGGGCAAGTCAGGCTGCCTGCGTTTCTGCCCGGTCTCCCCTCGCTGCTCTTTGCTGCGCGGCGCTGCCCTGGCCTGGGAGGCTCCAGCCTGAAGGCAGCCCCCCTGCTTCACCCCCGATGGAGACCCCCGGCAGCAGCCCGGCTCGGGGGGGCGGGCGTGTGAGCACCACACTGCTGCGGCCTCGTTCCAGGCCCTGCAGCCCAAGCCGCCCTTCCTCCTCGGCCCACATCTGGTGCCCCAGATGTGAGCTGAGCCTCTCTCCTGGCCTTGGCAGCCGCCAAGCAGTGCTGTGGTGAAGTCAGCCTGGGCAGAGCTCGGCCAAGCACCCCCCGTCCCTTTGCCTGCCCCCCGTTCGTCTCCCCGTTGCTTGCCCTGCCCGGAGGGGCACAGGTAGCTCTCTCACTGACAGACCAAACAGCTGCAGGAGGGATTCCAGCCACCCGCCTGCCCCTCAAATCCTTGCAGCTCCCCCAGTGCAGAAGGAATAGCACTTTGCACATGTTCAGGGGGAGCGCTTTTTAATGATTGGCTGACATGTTCCAGAACTGTGCCTTCTGACGCTAAACATCATCCCCTTTCCTGGGGGGGTGCCAGCCGTGGCAGCTGGTGCTCATTCATCCCCACAGGCCAAGGGTTCATCCCAGAGCGGGGCAGAAAGGGCTGTCCCTGTGTCGGCCTGGCAGTTTAGAAAAACAGCAGCACAGAAACAGCGCGAGTCAGAAGGGGTCTCCTGGGCCATCTAGTCTGACCCCCGGCCCGGCTCCAGCCGGCTCCGCTCATGACATGCCCACCACGTGCCATTTCCCACCCTCCTTGCCAAGGGCAGCGGCTGCGTTCAGGTGGCCCAAAGAGACGGGGTGGCTTGTGACCGTTGCTGGGCGGCCGTGCCATGGCACCGCGGTGGCTTTGCTCCTTGGGAACCATGGCAAGGAGCGAGGCTTCGCTCCCTGGCTCTCCGGCACTGCAGTGGTTGCTGTGTTGTCTGCCCCCAGGATCATGGCTGCCCCGATCCGGGCACCATGGAGTTCTCCGGCAGGAGTGACCGCTCCGGGAGGCCCCCCGGCCCCCCAGCCTCTGTGGGAGCCCGTGAGGAGGGAGCGGGCAACGCAGGCAGGGCGTCGTGGCGCCGCCGCCAGAGGGACAGTGCCAGCCATGGGAGAGGCGAGCGGGGAGGACGGAGACCTCGATGCCGTCGAAGGCGCGGGGCTGCCGGGCCGGTCGGGAACGAGCTGCAGTGGCCACGCAGGGCGCCTGCCCTGTGGCGTGAATGCCGCAGCCCTTGTGGGGGAGCAGGGGGCGCGGGCCCCGGGCAGAGCGCAAGGGCATCCCTCCCCCCTCCGTCCTGCCCAGGCGATCCGGAGCGCAGCTCCTCCGGTCCGTGGGGTGTGGCGCATTCTTTGGGGGTGACTCTGCAGGCGGGGGGGGGGGCCCTGGGCGGCTCCGCCAGACCTCGCTGAATGGGGCCTTTGTGTGCCCGGCTCGGAGAACAAGGGCCCCTGTTCGAACAGGCTGCGCCGAGGGGGCCGGGCCCCCTGGCCGGCCGCCCTGCCATCCGAGGCTGGAGGGGAGGGCAGTGGGGAGAGGCCTAGCCCCGTGCGGCGCCCACCGTGTCCCTCGCACTGCGCAGCGCCACGGAGGCACCGCCCAAGATCGTGGCTCAGCAGGCGGCTTCAGATCTACCTGGGACTCTTCTCCAAATCCTGGGGGCATCTCTGGCATGTGCAGAGTGCGCCGAGGGCATCAGCATCCCCAGAGGCAGCCCCAGGAAGGGCATCACTTGAGAGCCCCGTCAAAGCCACGGGGCTTTGGAGACCCCTGCCCCCCTCAGCTGCGCTCTCCTGTTCTTTGTCTTCTGCCTCTGGAACGGGCAGGCAGCTGGCCTCCCTCGCAGGGCTTCTGGGTGGCTAGAAGGACTGTGAGATCCTGCGCGCGAAGCAGCTGCCTCTTCCCTCGAGCACGCGGGGCCGGCCAGCAAGGGCCGGGTGGAGGCGCAGCCTTCGGACCCCCCCTCCCCTGGAGGCAGCGTGAGCCCGGCAGATACGGCCCCCCCGACGTGGTCAGCATGTTGACCGGCCTCGCAGCTGGGCCTGGGAGCTGCCGCTGGCTCAGAGTCCTGGCACAGGGCCCATGTGAAACCTGGGGGTGTGGAAGAGAGGAATCCGGCGCCTCCTTCCCGCTTCTGCCTGCCGCAGACCCCCGAGCGGGCAGCCCCCCAGGAAGGGGGTCCGGCCCACTCCGCTTGCCACTTTCCCTTTCCACATGGAGGAGGGGAGTGAATGGCCCACAAGCGCTCGGCCTCGTCCATTTTGGGGGGGGCGGGGGGAGCCTCCGTCCACGGAGCCCGGCAGAAATCCCGTCGTCCCAGTCCCTGCAGGGGCGCATGGGCATGCCACCCCCACGCCCTGCGCTGCACGCGTGGGAGACCGGCAGCGGCCCTCACCAGGGCTGGAGAAGGGCGCGTGGGCAACAGGACCCTGCTCTCCGGCCACGTTGCATTCAGGGCAACCCTGCCCCTTCCGACGGGGATCGCGTCCTGCCCCAGAATCATGCAGGGGGCGCTCAGCGGCCTCTCCCGAGGGTGCGCCCTCTGGACGAGCGGGTCCGCTCCCTCCAGCACGCCCCACGTGGACGGTTTCCCCTGGGCCAGGGCCGCCTGCCGGCCCCTTGGCACCTGCCGGGGGGGTTCCCCATTGCTGTCCCCCCAGGGGGTCAGGCATCCCTCACAGAGCACCTTTGCTAGAGTGCCTGTTTCGCTGGGAGTACGAGAAGCGGAGAGCGGCACAGGCGTGTCGAGCAGGGAGAAGGAGTCGTGGGGCGCGGAGTCCAGCGCCCGCCTGCCCCACCGGCCCGGCCCCGGCCTTCACTGCCCCGTCTCTCCTCCCTTCTAGTCTACTTCCGCGCCCTGGTGAATTTCACCAAGTCCATCGACTACAGCCCTCGCCTGGACGACGTCAACTCGGAGGATTTCCGGGATGTCTCAGAAGCAGTGGTGGACACGGTGAGCCCCGGCCTCGGGCACTGCAGGCGCGGGCCCTGCCCCACTTTCCGGGGCCCAAGGGCTCAGCGACCGCCTCCCCCGCCAGTGCCTCGCTCCGTCCCCCGGGGAGCTCAGATGCTGCTCCTTCTACGCCCATCCCAGAGTGAGGCAGCTCCTTCTCCAGAGGAACCTGCCTCCGTCCTTCCTGAAGGGCCTGGAAATGCCTTTATCCCGCCAGCTGCTTTGGACATAAGTGGGGATGATTTCTGTTTTATGCATCTCACTCTCCTGGGATTTCTGTCTTGTATCACAGAACAAGACGACAGCCTCGCTCATTTTCAGAACAAGCGTGCTCTTTTCACACCGCTTACATGGAGCATGTTTTGTAATGAAAAAAGCAGCCACTACTGCCGGGGAACAGCCCCTTTCGCAGAGATCTTCCTGGGAGGCAGCGTAGCCCCGCGGGGGGGTTTCTCCTCCGGGGAGGCCACGCAGGTCTTGCTGCTTGGGAATTGGTGCCGGGCGCCAGACTGGCAAACTCGGGGGGGGGGGGGGGGAAACGAAACCCAAAAGGGCCGCGGGGGGGGGGGTACCCCCCCCCCCCCCTCCCCCCGAGGGCCACCCACAGGCTCGCTCTGAAGCACGCTCCTCTCCTCAGCTGGAGTCCGAGTACTACAAAATCGCCGGCGAGCAGGTGGTCAGCGTCGTCTTCATCAAGTGAGTGGGGCGCAGCTTCCCTGCCAGCCGAAGCCCCCAAGAGACCCTCCCCAATGGACCCGGCCCCCGGCCAAGAGGCGCTCTCCCCCCATGTGGAGGACGCGCCGGGCTTGCAGGGTCCCCGCCCCCCGGGGCAGGGCGGGGGTCTCCGGGCAGGGAGCCCCCCATGCGTGACCCATGCCCTCCCGCCGCCCCCCAGGGAGATCGATGGCGACATCTTCGTGGAGCTGGACGTGGGCTCCGAGGGCAACACGGACGAGGAGCAGATCCGCGAGGTGCTCTACTCGGTCATCGCGAGCGGCTCCATCGCCTCCTACGTCACCTCCACGCAGGGCTTCCACTTCCGGCGCCTGGGGGCAGGTGAGCCCCCCCCCGAACTGGAGCCGGGCGAGGCGCAGCCGCGCGCGTGTCGGAGGGGCCGCTCCTCGCGGGAGGGGGCTGCCGCCCCGGGTCTGCTGCTGACTCTCTCTTTGCTTCCAGCCCAAACCCCTCCGCCCCCTGTCTCGGTGGAGCCTCCAGGTGAGTGGGGAGCCGAGTCGGAGCGGTGCAGGGGGGCCTGGAGGCCGGCTGCGGAGGGGGCCCCCTCCTCCCAGCACCTCGCCCCGGGGCCCGCGCAGGGGCCGCAGCTCCGAGGCAGAAGGCCCCTGGCGACTTACAGGCAGGGCGGGGGAAGAACCCCCCCGGCTCCCCAGAGAGCCACTGCCCAGGGACACCCTCCTTTGGCCTACGGTTCCCATCAGGCTCAGCCATCATGGGCAGCGGTGAGGGATTTATGGAAGCTGTCCCCCAAAACAGCTCGAAGGCCCCAGGTCGTGTCCCCCCATAGTCCTGAGCCAGAGAAGCCAGGAGCACAAGGCCACTGCTGGTGTTCTCTTGTTCAGCACCATGAGGACTAGAATCCCTCTTTACTTTTAGAGCATGGCCCACACATCAGTTTCAGGATGCCTGCTTTGCCTGCAGAAGGTCCCAGAACCCGCTTTTGATCTCTTTCGATAGAGATGGAAACGGTTCTGCGGAAAACCCAGGGAGCCCGGGGGTCCCAGTCAGGGCCAGTGGCACTGGACAAGAGGGGCGTGGGGGCCGGCAGCCCCCCTCCGGCAGCCCTCGCCACACGCTCGCACGCAGAGGCTGACTCGCGCGCCCCAGATGCCTCTGGCCTCTTCCTCCCTGGAATCCAGCCGGAAGAAGCGAGCGCCTCGGTGCTCCCAGGGTCGGGTTTCACCATCTGCAGGCTCTGGACGGCCCGACCCTGCCGATCTGCAGCTGGGAGGCTTCCGAGGGACCCCGCGGCTCAGCACCCTCCGCCCCTCCAGTCAAGTGGGAGGCGCCCCGGCAGGGTCCGTCTGGCCCACAAACAGCCCGTGCTGGCGGGGGCAGCCGGGCCCCTCCAGGAGGCCGAGCCCAACCCGAAGCCTGCCGGGCAAAGCGCCCCACTGCGGGGCCCCAATCCAGGGCTGTCCTCTGGGGTTCTCAGGGAGCCGCCCAGTGCTCTCCTGGCTCCTCGGCAGATTTCCTCCCCGGTCCAAAAGGCTGGGAAGCCTCTCTGGGGCCGAGGCTCCTGGCACGGAGGGCTTTGAGCGGCACCGTGGGGCCCGCACCCCCCGCCTTGGCCCCAGCCTCGCCCCCCCGGAGTGTGGGCCATGGGCTCAGAGGGTCCAGTGCCCAGCGGGTCTCCCTCACCCCCTTTTGCCCCCTGAGCCACACGGGTAGCCTGCCCTTGTCCGTGGGGGCATCAGGCCTCCATCAAGGCGATCGAGGACAGCCGGCCAGAACGGCTGCCCCAACGTCAGCCGACCCAGAGTCCTGTGTCTGCCGCTGCCAAACGGGCACCCTGGTGGGATGTCTCAGGCGTGACCCGAATTCAGTGGCCTGCACCCTCTGTCCCCCCCCCACAACGTGTGTGCAGAGCTACACTGCCCCTAGATGTGGAGGTTCCATTGAGTTGTGGCAGCTAAAGCTTGCTGGCAGTTCTCGTAGTCCTTCTCCTTGGTTAAGAATCTGACCGCCCCTTTTAAAGGCCTCTGAGCCAGCAGCTGGCAACACGTCTTGTGGCAGGGAGTTCCGCAGAGGAACCCCTCCGTGTGTGAAGAGCAGTGTCTTTTACCTGTCCCGACTCTCCGCCAGGCAGGCTCCTGAGCACGGCGCCTCCTAGTCCTGGCAAGGGAGGGAAATACTCCGCAGGCACCACCCCCAAGTTTTGATGGGTCGACCAGCCGTAAGCAGGTGCGGGCACGGGGCCGGGGCCACGGCTGCCCCCCGGCCTTCCCCGCCACGAGGGGGGGGCCTCCAGGTCTCCTTGCACCAATCCGCTCGGCGTGTGTGCGTGTGTGCGTGTGCAAGGCTGCCCTCCGCTGCGTGCCGTGCCGAGGGGGCCGGAGGAGCCCCCCGGAGCTTGCTGCGGCCACGAACCCCGTGACTGGGCCCGCACGCGTGCTCCGCTCCCCCGGCCCGGGGCAGGGGCCAAGCGGCGTGTCCCCGGCCCAGCAGCTGGGGAGCGCTGGCAGCGATACCCCGTGGCCGGAGTCCAGGGCTCGGCCCGCGCCGGTGCGCTCGGGTCGGGCACGTGGGCTTGGCCGAGGCCCAGCGGGAGCTGGAGGAGGCTCAGGCTTGCTTCCTGGGCCTCGTGGACCCGAGGACCGTGAGGAGAGATCCGGGGCTCTCCGGGGGACGTCCTCCCGAAAAGGGGTCCACCCGTTGCCCGTTGCCTTGTCCAGGAAGCGAGCCCTTCCCGTTCCGTGGTCTATTTACTGTTCAATTATGCATTTAATCAGTCCTTCCTTTGGGTCCTCGTAGGGGCCCCAGTACGACGTCTACTTAATTATTTCCCTCCGCAATTTGGCAACTAAATTTAAAAAAGGAGAACGCGTCAAAAGCAGCATTTGAAGTGTTTCTGTATGTCCAGGCCGTGCCAGCAGAGGAAATGCAGAGCAGCAGCGAACCGCGCAAGTGGGCTATAAATTAAGGCTGGAGAACGAAGGGGGCCGCTTAGTTTCCCCTGGGAGAGAGTTCCTGGCCGGGGCTGCCACGGGGAAGGCCCTGCCTGGTGCTCCCGTTGGCCTCGTTTGGGCTGGACCAGCTGCTCTGCTTGGCCCCGATCCCACCGCACAGAGCAGGGGTTAAAATCAGATCTGGTGCGAGGCTGCTGGCCGGGACCTTGAGAGGGGTGTGTGCCAGAAAGCAGGAAGGGGGCTTGTTGGGGGGCTTGCGGGGCGTTTGTGGCTGTGCTTGGCTTGTGCTTGCTGCCTCTAACGGTGTGCTGTGGGGTTTGGAGAATGCCCGGCCCTTAACAAAGCGGGGCGCTTCCTCGGCCTCCTGCAGCCCCCCGAGGCTCGCAGGCGCATGTCTTGGGGTGGGGAGGAGGCAGAGAAGGGGGCAGCGCCCCCACCCACTCCCAGCGCAGCGAATTTCCTCCGGCTGCTGAAGTCGGAGGGCTTGGCTCTGCCAGCTCTCCTCTACACGGGGCCACCTCAGCCAGCCCCACTGAGCGCACGCGCGGGGGGTGCAGACTGCTGCTCCCCACGGCGGCCCTGATCCTGCGCTCTGCTTCCAGTGCCCCCGGAGATCCGGGCCTGCACCGCGGACGAGTTCTCCTGCCTCAGCGGCGAGTGCATCCCCCGGGAGTTCCTGTGCGACCGGCGGCCGGACTGCCGGGACATGTCAGATGAGCTGAGCTGTGGTGAGCATCGGGCTGGACGGGGGTGTGAGAGGGAGGCCAGGGGCTCCCCTTGACCACCCCCTTCGGGGGCTCGGCCTCACTTTTCCTCTCCCCCCCCACAGAAGAGCCGATGCTGCCCGAGTGCTCCGACACGGAGTTTGCCTGCGACAGCGGGCAGTGCGTGCGCCTCGCCTTCCGCTGCGATGGACACCCGGACTGCGGGGACGCCTCCGACGAGGACGGCTGCGGTGAGGGGCGGGGCGGGGGGCAGCTCATGGGGTGGGGGCCCCGGGGGGGGGGGGGGGGGGCGCAGAAGGACCCACGTGGCCGTGACGCCTGTCTCCGTCTCCCCGCAGAGCAAACCGTGCCGCCTCCGCGGGTGACCACCGCCCCCCCCAGGCCTGTCACGCCTCGGGTCCCCAGCACCGCGCCCCCGGCCACCACCCGCCGCGCCCCGGTCACCGGGCCGCAGCGGGGCCTCACGCCCAAGCCCTCGCTGTCCCCCGAGGCGCGCCCCTGCCGCAAGGACGAGGCCGCCTGCGCCAGCGGGCAGTGCATCCCGCCGGACTACGTGTGCGACGGGGAGCGCGACTGCCGCGACGGCAGCGACGAGCTGCACTGCGGTGAGCCCCGCGGGGCGGGCCGGGGCGGGGCGGGGGCGGGCCGGACACCGACGCCACCTGGGCGGGGGGCGAGGGCCGAGGGCCGGGCGCCAAGCCGTGACCCCCTCTTCCCGCCGGGACAGGCACGCCCTCCCCCTGCGAGCCCAACGAGTTCAGGTGCCGCAACGGCTACTGCGCCCTCAAGCTCTGGCGCTGCGACGGCGACAACGACTGCACCGACGGCTCCGACGAGCTGAACTGCCGTGAGTGCCGGCGCGGCGGGGGGCCCCTGCTGGCCCCCCCCCCCAACTCGGGGGGCCAGCGCCGGGAGCTTGCAGCACAGCGAGTCCCTGGGGTGGTGGGGAGGAGTGTGGCGCTCGGGCGCCGGGGCCGCATCCTGCCTTCCAGGCCCCCGGACCAGCCCCAGAACCTTCCTCTGCCCCCAGGCGTGACCCACCCATGTACTGTAATCCACTCTGCCATTTGCACCGAAGTGCCGTACTTGGCGGTTACGTGGGAATCGGCCCGAGGCGGACCCTTGATTCCGAGCGCGATCCGCCCCAGTCACAGTGGTTGAAATGACCCCTGAAGCTGCACTCGGCAGCGGTGCCCTCTTCATGCCCAAACGGGCGGCGTCTTCCTGCCCGTTTTGCTCCGGCCCCACGAGCGTCCGGGAAATGGCGTCTGTCCCTCGTGCCGCGAGAGGGCCGGTGCCCCGCGAGAGGGTCCGGGCGACTGGAAGGGGGAGCTCAGCGGTGCTTGGAAAGGGGGGGCTCCTGCCGCCCCGGGCCACCGGGGCTGCGCTCAGCTCCTGTCCTTCCACAGCCACGAAAGCCCCCGGGGACACCTGCGGCCCGGAGCAGTTCGTCTGTGTGTCGACACGCACCTGCATCCCGGCCAGCTACCAGTGCGACGAGGAGGCCGACTGCCCGGATCGCTCGGACGAGATCGGATGCAGTAAGTGGAACGAGCCCCCGGTGGGGGCTCGCGCGGTGGGGGCTGGGCAGGAGCGGGCAGTGCCGTCTTTCGCAGATGCTGCTGCTTTCCGGTCCCCTCCGTCCCCTTCCCACGTTGCTCTGCTCAGTTCTGGCCGCAGGCGGTGCCACGGCACACGCACACTTCGGCGGCGTTCCTCTGAGCCGGCCGTTCGGCGGTGCGCTTCTCCTAAGACCCCCTTTGGCAAAACGGCCGGCCGTCGCTCTGTGGCACAGCCCTTGCCCTGCGCGTAGAAGGTCGGTCCGCGGCTCAGTCCTCAGCCACGTCTGCTGACAGCCCCGGCGAGTGGCTGCTGCCAGTCCGTGTTGGCCATGCTGGCTCGGAGGGACAAAGCGGCAGCCGGCTTGGGCCAAGGCCGCTTCCTGCTTGCCCAAAATGGGTGGAGGAGCACAAGCCTCGGCACCCGTATTTCGCGCAGGAGGTTTCTTCCTGCCCCCCGCGGCTGCGTGCACCTTCTGAGCACTGGTGAGCCGGCGTGAAGCAGAGGCGTGGCCCGCAGCCTGCCGGACCTCCGCCTTGCCTCTGTCAGCGCACGCGCCCGTGAGCATGTGTGCGAGAGAGTAAGTGCCTTTCTCCTCTCTTCTCTCTGCCCCCCCAGTCCCTCCACAGGTGATCACCCCCCCTGAGGAGTCCATCCAGGTGGCCCCCGGAGCGACGGTCCGTTTCACCTGTGTGGCTGTCGGCGTCCCCACCCCAATCATCACCTGGAGGCTCAACTGGGGCCACATCCCCAGCAGCCGCAGGTAAGCTGCCGGCCAGGTACGCTCTGCTCCCTGCCGGCCCCCCTGGGCCAGGGATGCTGCCCCTGTCCTTCTGCCCCGCAGGGTGTCCATCACCAGCGAGAACGGCCACGGGACGCTGACCATCAAGGACGTGAAGGAGGCTGACCAGGGGGCCTACACCTGCGAGGCCATCAACGCCCGCGGGATGGTGTTCGGCATCCCCGATGGCGTGCTGAGCCTCACCCCCCGTCCAGGTGAGCCCCTGGTGGGGAGACGGGGAGAGGGGGTGGGGCGGGGCGGATTTCCGCTCGGCGACTCCGAAGCCTAGCACCCTCTCTGTGCCAGCCCCCCGGGTCTGCCCGTCTGTCTGCATCAGCCTTCCCGAGCCTGTTCCCTGCCGGACAGGTGGACGGGGACACCAGGTTCGGCCCAGCGGGCCCACGCCTGCCCAGTCCGCTCCTCCGCCCCGTCTGTCGGCCTCTCTGCCCGCCCGCCTGTTTTCTGTCAGCGTGTTCGCATCCTGTCCTTGGCAGCCGCAGGGGTGGCCGCTCGCGTCCCTCCAGATGTTCTGGCTCAGCCCCCGTGTCGTTGGCCGAGGCTCCCGGGAGTCGCGGCCAAAACATCTGGAGGGAGGGATGCGAGCGGCCCAGCCTGCTCTGGCACCCGTGTCCCGCGCCCCTCTTCCGGCAGTCTCTGTCCTGCCGCTGCTGCGCGAAGCGGCTTGGGCCGCCCTTCCCTGCGTGACCCTGGAGCCGGTCCAGGGAGGCCCGAGCCGGCCCAAACGCCGGGCCAGCCGGGCCTGTGGGAGCCGCCTCCCTCCTGGGGCTGCCCGGCTGCCGCGGGAAGGGAGAGGGTGCTCCTGCGTGTGCCTGGCAGGCCCTCTTAGCTCTCGCGAGGGGGGCTGCAGCAGCCCCGACCCCACCCACACGCCTGTGGGTGCGGGCAGCCCCCCAGCGCGGGTCAGCTGGGCCTCGGGGGGCCTGCCACCCTCCGCTTCGCCTCACCCGCAGGGCCCTGCCCCGAGGGGCACTTCCACCTGGAGGGCACCTCCCGCTGCCTGCCCTGCTTCTGCTTCGGCGTCACCAGAGCCTGCCGCGAGACCAGCCGCCACCGGCACCAGATCCACCTGCGCTTCGACCTGCCCAACGACTTCAAAGGTGAGGGGAGGCCACGTCCGTGGGGGGGGGGGAGGCTCGGCCAGCCACGTGCCACGGCCGGGGGAACCCCAGGCAGCAATCCTCCAACTAGGCGAAGGGGCCCAGGAGGCTGAGCCAGGGTAGCAGGTCAGTCTCTGGGACGTTCGGGACTTCACCTCACAGCATTCCTGGCCATTGGCCATGCTGACTGGGGCTGATGGGCATTGTAGTCCCATGCCTCCAGAGGGCAGCGGGTTGGGAGAGGCTGGCCTGGGTCTTTCCTTACCCCGCCCCTCCGATCCATCCACCTGAGGCAGCAGGCACCAGCACCCCTGGAGGTGGAGGCAGGACACCGCGAAGCTCTCAGAAGAAGGCTGCTGCCTCTGGGCATGGGCGGAGCGCCTTCCCGCAAGCGGAGGCAGCCCGGCCCTTTGCTGTGCCACTGCCTGATGCCGCTCCCTCCTCCCCTCCCCTCCCCTCCCCTCCCCAGGGGTGAATGTGACGGCACCCGCCCAGCCCGGAGTGCCCCCCCTCTCTTCGACGCAGCTCCAGATCCACCCCGGCTTGCAGGAGTTCCAGCTGGTGGACCTCTCCCGCCGCTTCCTGGCCCACGACTCGTTCTGGACCCTGCCGGGGCAGTTCCTGGGGAACAAGGTGAGGGGGCCGAGGCCCGGGCGGCGGGGGCTCTCAGTACAGCCTAGGCCTCGCCCCGCTTCCCGGGGGACATGGCGAAGGAGGCGAGGAGGAGCCCAGCGATCCGGGAGGACTCCTGCGCAGGGTCCTCCTCGCCAGGGTGGGGCGAGGCCTTGGCAGCCAGCCCCGGCAGCAGGCGGTCCCTGCTTTCCCCGAGGCCCCGGGGGTCCTCCCGGCAGTTGAGCCGGACCCCCCGGGGCCTGTCCTTCGTGCCTGTCCGAGGCTCTGCACAAAGCACCGTGCTTGTGCGGGAAAAGCCATAAAGCCGCGCAGAAACGCTCCGCCGTGCGTCGCACAAGAGCTGACCCGCTCGGCCCTCGCCCTCCCTGCGCTCTGCCCCCAGGTGGATTCCTACGGCGGCCACCTGCAGTTCAAGGTGCGCTACAGCCTGGCTCGGGGCCAGTCGGAGCCGGTGCAGAGGGCCGACGTCGTCATCGTGGGCGGTGGGCAGAGGCTCCTGTACCGAGCGCGGGTGCCCACGCAGCCCATGCTGGTGAACCAGCGCCAGGTCCACTTCAGCGAGGTGAGGAAGCCGCCGGGAGAGGGGTGTCCGGGGCCACCGAAGGGGGGCAGGATCCCTGGAGTCCTACCTGGCACGCCAGGCTCAGCCCGCCCGCCCTCCTTCACGCTCAGCCCCGGAGGGCCCCACGCCACACCTTGACCCATTCCCTCCCTCCCTCCCTCCCACGCGTCCCCCCACGCACCACTCCCCGCCTCGTGTCGCGCCTGCAGGAGAACTGGGAGAAGGAGTCGGGGGGCCCCGTCAGCCGGGAGGAGCTGCTCCTCGCCCTGCAGGACCTGGAAGCCATCCTGATCCGGACCGTCTACGACAACCGGATGGCCAGCGTGGGGCTGAGCGACGTGGTCATGGACACCACCACCACCGAGGCCACCGACCTGGGCACGGCGCGTGGCGTGGAGGAATGCAGGTGCGGGAGCCGGGGCGCAGGGGAGCTGCTTCCGCCACCCACCCTCCCCGGTGCGTGGGGCACTGCTCTCGGCCCCACTCCCGGGCCTCGCCTCGCGGCACCACAGCTGTGCAGCCCCCCCGCCCCCATCTGAGGCAAGGGGTGCAAGGCTGGGGTCCCGCCAGGCCACTGAGGCCGCTCGGAAAGCCCAGCCTGGCGGGGATCCCCCGCTCACGGGCCCCCGTGGCCGCCTGCCCTCCCCGCCGCCTCCAGCGCTGCCCTCGCTCCCACAGGTGCCCCGCCGGCTACTCGGGTCTCTCGTGCGAGCGCTGCAGCGTGCACTTCGAGCGCGTGCCCGGCGGGCCTTTCCTCGGCTCGTGCTCCGGATGCAGCTGCAACGGCCACGCCAGCTCCTGCGACCCGTCCTCCGGCTACTGCCTGGTGAGCTGCGCCCCCCAGTCGGGCCCCAGGGGAGGCCAGGGGCCCGAAGGGGGCCTGGCCTTGGGGGGTTGCCGCTCGCCCTGAAGCCGCTTGGGCCCTCCGGGGCCCTCTCCCTCCGCCTAGAACTGCCAGCACAACACAGAGGGGCCCCAGTGCAACATGTGCAAGCCAGGATTCTTCGGGGACGCCACGAAGGGCACCCCGACGGCCTGTCGCCCCTGCCCCTGCCCCTACACGGAAGCCCCCAGGAGGTGAGTGGCCAGCAGGAATATTCCCAGCCGGCCCCGGCCCCACGCTGCCCCGGAGCCGACTTCTCTCCCTGGCCCGTCCGTCATTGTGGGGAGAGTCGAGGCGGCGCCTGGCTTGCCAGCCACAGGGCTGCCTTGCGGGAAGGCGGCCGGGCGGCTCGGCGGGGGTGGCGGCGAAGGGGCTGGTGGTGCCGAGCGCCGCCCTGCTCATGCCCGGGGACGCCGGCCGGCGGCCTCAGCCAGACCGCGGGACGGGACGTGCCTCCCCAGCTGCGCCTGAGGGAGGCCGGTGCGGAAGAGCAGCCCTGCTCCCTCGCTTGCAGGTTCTCCGACTCCTGCTTCCTGGACACGGATGGCCACGCCACCTGTGACGCCTGTGCGCCTGGCTACACAGGACGCCGCTGCGAAAAGTGAGCACTTCTCTTACAGCAGCCCTTGGCCTTTGTTGCAGTGAAAGTTTATTCTGCACAGAGAGACCCTTCTGTTGCCCTTTTCACGCGGTTCTTTGAAGGTGTTTTACTCGTCGTCATTGTTTCTCTTATAATTGCAACACACGGACACAGAAAGCCAGCCGGAAGGACTCCTGGCGGGCTGCCTCTCTGGGAAGGCCCCCGAGGGAGAGATCGCTAGATCAGGTGGAGACACGGCGAGCTGCGCCCTCTGGCTGGGAGCAGGACTCCCACGCGCTCTGCCTGCTGCCCGGCCCTTTCACGCTGGCGCTGAGGCTGGGCCTCCCCGTGAATTCGGATTACGCAGGCGGGCACAGAGCCCGCAGTGCCGCAGCTGAGGAGTCAGTGCCCACATCCACCCCTCCCCTCCGAAATCAGCGGGCAGATCCCACAAAGGCTCGGCCACCGGCGAGGGGTCCCCAGCATGTTCATCGCCCCCTCGCTGGAGGGAGGCCACTGACTCGGGCTCTCGTCCGGTTGTCCCTGCAGATGCGCCCCAGGCTACGAAGGAAACCCCATCCAGCCCGGGGGCAGGTGTGTGAAGACCGGTGAGTAAGCTCTCTGGACGCTCCCCACATCCCACGCCGGAGGCTGGTGCGGGAGGGGTGCGACCACGTGGGTGACGGTGTCCGCAAGCCCCACTGGGCACGGAAGGACGTGCTTCAGAGCGAGCGAGCGAGCGAGCACCAAGCTGTGCTGGCACTCTGCGGGTGAGAACTCGGACTCTCCCAGGAAAGGGCCGGGTTTGGCACCCTGCGCAAGGTTGTCCTGCAGGGGATCGCCCGGCGTCTGTGCAGTGGGACTGAGCAGGATCGTGCAGACCCTGTGCCAGGTCTCCTCGCACTCGCCGCTTTCCGGTGCTTGCCCGGCACTGGGTGTGTCCCATGCAGCAGGCAGACCATGGGAGCCGGCCTGACTCCCCGCGCGACCTTCCCAGGAAATGTTCTGGAGCAGGTCGCCATCTTGTGGAAGTCCTGTGCCCACAGTGGCCCCAGTCTTAGACACTGGCGCTCCTTGCCCTGCGTCCCTGTGCGCCCTTGGCCCCCGAGTCCAAATCGGCGACGAGGGCCCCCTTCCCCAGGTGGGCCCCTGCAGGTGCTTTTGGGCAGGAATCCCCACAGTCCCGGCTCCAGGCAGCAGGGTGGGGACCCGGGGGCGGGCACTGGGAGAAGAGGGGGCTCCTTTAGCTCCCCTTTCCCCCTTTGCAGGGCAGGACGTGCTGTGTGACGAGCGCGGGAGCAGCAGGGCCGCGGGTGGCCGGTGCCAGTGCAAGGTAAGCCGGGCAGAGGCGCGGAGAGGCGTGCGTCCGACTGCCCCTCTGCCCGTCCGTCCGTCCGTCCGTCCTCTCATTCTTGGTGGACCTTCCGAGATGATCACTTTGGGGCAGGGTGCGTGATTCTGCGGGCCCAGTCCCACTGGGGAAAGACTCTCTGGAGCCCCGCGGGGTCCGGGGAGGGCAGGGCCACGGACACCGAGACGCCCTGCCCGCTGATGTGCCCCTCCTCTCCCTCGGCAGCCCAACGTCGACGGCCATCTCTGCGACGCCTGTGCCTCGGGCTCCTTCCACCTGAGCCGCGAGAACCCCGACGGCTGCCTGCGCTGCTTCTGCATGGGCGTCTCGCGCCAGTGCACCAGCTCCTCCTGGAGCCGGGACCAGGTGCGGTGCCCGCCCGGGGGCCCCCAGGAGCAGGGCCCTGCCCTCCCCTTCCGGCCTGGCCTGGCCTGGCCTTCCTCACGGTCTGCTGCCGGTGGGGAGGGGAAGGGAAGGCGGAGAGACGGCGAGCCCCGGGACGGCACACCGGGGCAGCCCCCACCCTCACTGACCGCCCGGTCCTTGCAGGTGCGGGTGGCCTACGAGGACGCCGAGCGGGAGCAGTTCAGCCTCTCCAACGCGGACGGCAGCCGGACCGTGGCGGAGGGTGTCCACGTCGCCACGGGCCCCGAGCTCTCCTTCTCCTCCTTCCACGTGCTGCCGCGCGATGTGTATTACTGGGTGCTGCCCCAGCGCTTCCGGGGAGACAAGGTGTGGCGTCGGCACGCGTGTCCGTGTCTGTCAGGCCCGGCCCCGGGCCGCACCTCCGCGGCGGCATGTGCCCGGCTTGAGTCGTGGCCCCGGCGGGACCCGGGGCCGCTTCCCGCCCGCTCTGAAGCTGCCCCCCCCCCGCAGGTGACCTCGTACGGCGGGGAGCTGCGCTACACCGTCACCCACGACACCTTCCCGGGCGTCGCACCCGTGCGGGGCCAGCCCAGCGTGCTGCTGCAGGGGAACGGCATCTTCCTGGAGCACTTCACGGAGCGGACCCCCCTGCCCGGTGTGCCCACGGGCTTCGCGGTGCCCTTCCGGGAGGTGAGCCGGCGGGCGGCGAGGCTCTCCCGCTTTGCCACTGCGCGGAGTGGGCTCTCCTGGCCCGAGGGCCGTGCGTCCGGCAGGGCGGCTCCGAGGCCTCTCCTGGCCCAGGGCCCCTCCTGCGCGCTGCCGCCCGGGCAGCCCGGCGGCCAGGAGGATGCGCCCGGTAGCCCCTCCCGCTCTCCCTTGCAGCACGCCTGGCGCCGTGCGGACGGGCAGAACGCCACCCGGGAGCACCTGCTCATGGCGCTGGCCGACATCGATGTCTTCATGATCCGGGCGTCCTACTCAGAGCAGCCCTCGGAGAGCAGGTAGGGGGCGGGGGGGCCAGCGGGGCCGGCCGCAACAGCGGGGAGGGCCAGGCCCCGGCCCGTGGGGCTCGCAATGCGGGGGCCGTGCGGACCCGCCCTCGGGCTGGCTGGACTCGGGGGGGGGGCGGGCGTGGGGCGCATCCCGTCCCCGGCGTTGTCAGCTGCCTCGCCGCTCCCTCGCGCAGGATCTCCGGCATCCACATGGACGTGGCCGTGCCGCACCCCACGGGCCTGGAGCCTGCCCTGGAGGTGGAGGAGTGCACCTGCCCCCGCGGGTACCGCGGCCCCTCCTGCCAGGTAAGCTGCCCCTCGCCTCGCCCTGCCCGCCTGGCCACGGGGGCGGGGGGGCTCCTCTGCTCGGGTCCCGCTCAGCAGCTGCCCCGGCACCTTCTCCCTCCCCCAGGACTGCGACTCCGGCTACACGCGCACCACCAGCGGCCTCTACCTGGGCACCTGCGAGCCCTGCGACTGCAGCGGCCACTCCTCTGCGTGTGACCCCGAGACGGGAGACTGCCAGGTGAGTGGGGGCGGCCTCGCTCCGGGGCCGCGGCCAAGACCCCGCAGGCTGCCTGCAGCTGCCGGCCCCGGGGGCGTGGGCGGGGGGCGAAGCCTCGCGGGAAGAGGGGCTGCCTGGCTTCCCCGCCTGCATCACCCCGCATGTTGGACGACCCTTCCTGGGGTCCCAGTTCCGGAGGGGCCCGGGCTGGGGGCTGCCAGCCTTCGGCACGCGAGCCGGGAGCGACCCGCCGGGAGCCGGGGGGCCCCGTGACCCAGCGAGCCTCTTCCCTCCTTCCCAGAACTGCCAGGACAACACGGAAGGGCCGCGGTGCGAGCGCTGCCGGCCGGGCTTCTTCGGCGACGCCAGACGCGGGGACTGCCGGCCCTGCCCGTGCCACGGGCCCCCCTCCGCCAGCCAGTAGGTGCAACCCGCCCGCGCCCGGCCCGGCTCCCGGCCCCTCGGGGGCTTCCGGCCGCGGCTCACCCACGGCTGCTCTCTCACAGGGCCCCCCGGAGCTGCTTCGTGGACTCGGACGGGCTGCCCACGTGTGACCCCTGCGGCCCCGGCCACGTCGGGCGCCTCTGCGAAAGGTGGGCCAGCCGTGGGGGGAGCGCCGGGCGGCCCTCCCCGGGCCCTGCCTCCGGTTCCCTGTCTCCCAGAGCCTGCGGGGCCGAGGCACGGGCTCAGGGGCGTCCCCGTCTCCCTGGGTTGCCCCCGGTGCTGCCAGCGGGCAGCAGGGAGGAGGGGTCAGATGGGGCCTGGCCCCCAGGAAGGGGCGCTCACGCCTCGCCGCTGCCATGCGCCTGGGGACAAGCAGATGCCGCTTCTCCCGGACTGGTGCCTGTCCTGTCCCGGCTCGTGTGGAGGTCTGCTCCCGAATAGGCGTGGGGAGCGAGACGCTGGCTGGGCCTGGCGGGGCAGGAGGGGCGTCGGATCTCCCCAGCCCCACGCCGGCCCTGGGCCATCCCGCTCCCGCCTCCTGACTCCACGCTGTTCTCTTGGGCCAGGTGTGCTCCAGGCTACGTGGGGGACCCCCTCCAGGGACAGCCCTGCACAGGTGAGCCCCGCACCTGGGGGGTGGCAGAGGGCAGCAGGGGCAGGCCGCACCGGGGCGGGCTTGGGGTCTGGCGGGAATTGTCTTCGGCAGGTTTCGGGTGGCTTTGGGGGGCAGTGAGGGGAGCGAGTTGCCTCTGAGGCCGGAAGAGCCGCCGAGGTTCAGCCCGACACATTCGGCGAACCTGCGCTGGAAGCTCGGGCACGTGGCCACACAGAGGAGAGTGCCTGCCCCCTCGTGGGGCCGGTGTGGGGCGGGGGGACACCAGCAGGGGCCGGGCAGCCCCCGACACTCCGCCTCCTCTCGCCCAGACCCAGGCCTGCGGTGCCACTGCGACCTCGACGGCAGCGTCAGCGGCCAGTGTGACGCCGACAGGCGGTGCCAGTGCAAGGTGGGAGCGCCTGCCCGGGGCTCTGGGGGGCCCGCGAGCGACACGGGGGCTTTCGGGTCTCCGTGGCCCGGCCCCGCCTCCCTGGCGCCCGCGTGCGGTTCAGCCCGCCTGTCCTCCGCCACAGGCCAACGTGGAGGGCCCCTCCTGCGGCACGTGCCGCCCGCACCACTTCCACCTGAGCGCGGACAACCCGGACGGCTGCCTGCCCTGCTTCTGCATGGGCGTCACCCAGCAGTGCTCCAGCAGCACCCACTACCGCCACGTGGTGAGCGCCCCCCCGCCGCCCGCCCCCCCCCCTGCCCTCCCCTCCCGCAGCCCGGCAGGCGTAACCGGCACTCTCTTCCCCCCCCTCCCCCCCCCCCCCCCGCCGGACAGGTCAGCCGCCCCTTCCTCCCGGGGAACTCGCAGGGCTTCGCTCTGGTCAACCGCCAGCGCAGCACCCGCATCCAGACCGGCCTCGTGGTGGAGGCGTCCCCGGAGGGCCCGCAGCTGTCCTACGGCCGCTTCGGCGAGCTGGGCCAGCAGGCCTTCCACTGGCAGCTGCCGGAAGCCTACCTGGGAGACAAGGTGTGTTGGGGCGGGCGGGCGGGCGGGGGAGCGCCGCCGCCTCGCGGGGCTGCCTGGCGTCGAAGCGGGGCTGAGGACGCAGCGCAGCCCCCCGCCCTGGCGAGGCCTTCCTAGCGATCGCGGCCTCAGCGTGCCTGGCGGTCGTGCGCGGGGGGAAGGGCCCTTCACCGGGGGCCGCCGGCCTCGCCCACGCAGGGGCCTCTTGGCTGCTCCTTCCCCCGGCCCGCCTGCACAGAAACCCTTTCCCAGGCCGGCCCAAAGACTGCGGAAATCGTCAAGCTTGTGAGCTCTCCGGAGCTCTCGCCCAGGTGATAAGTTGCTAGACAAAAAATGAAAGAGCAGCTGGGCTTTGGAGCTCTGCTGGGGGTCTGTCCAGTCTCCCAGCTGGCTTGCACTCGTCCGGGGGCAGAACCCTAGATTCACAGACCCTCCCGGGGCAGCCGGTGCATCTGTCCTGCCCAAGGCTCTTCCGCCGGGCCCAAAGCGCTCCTGCTTGTGCGACGGCCTCCTGGAAGGAGTGCGGCTCTGGGCTGGTGCGTGGTTTGCGCTGCCCCGTGGGTGTGCTCGTCTTGCACCCGTGCCTAGAAGAGGGCTCACCCAGGGCCGCAGTGGGCGGGCCGGGATGCCGGCGTGCCGCAATTTGGCCAAAGTTCGCCGTTGGGTGTCGTGCGACTGCAGTGTGGGCTGTGCTTCAGGACACAGGGCCCCGCAGGGGGCAGCCGGGAAGGGGGCAGCCGGGGGGGGGAGGGGCCTTTTTGGAGGATGGGGGGCGGGGGGGGACAGCTGGACCTTCACTGGTCAGGGAGTTGTTAAGAGGGCAGCTGCAAAGTGGAGCCAGGAAGGTGGGGCAGCTAGACGGAGGGGTGTCTGGAGGGGCCCTGCGGGGTTGTGCGAAGGGCGAGTGGCACGTTCCGTCACGCTGCGCCCGAGGGGTGGGCAGTGCAGGGAGGTGGATTCTGGCCGAACTGTGGAAGAGGCGTCTTCGCAATGGCGTTTGTCTGCTCCCGGGGGCAGGGGGTTCTGTCGGCGTGCGCGTCCGGGAGGGAAGAGACCCCCGTCACGAGGGCGGGTGGGCAGGCCTGCAGGCAGCGGCAGGCGTCAGGAAACGCCAGGCTTGGCCGGAGCCCGTTTGGCCGCTCCAGGCTCCGCCGGGAGCGCCTTCCCTTCTCTGCTCAGAGCCGAGCCGGCCGGGTCTCCGCCGGGCGCAGCCTGTGCTGGGGACCCTCGGTGCCCAGCCGGCCTTCCCAGCCGGGGGGCCGATCGCAGCTGGAGCCGTGCCACCAGCGCCTCACCCGCCGGTCTGTCTGTCTGTCTGCTCCCTCTCCTGTCCCCCTCTTTCCCTTCCTCATCTGTCTGTCTGTCTGTCTGTCTCTCTCTCTCTCTCTCTCTCTCTCTCTCTCATCTCTTCTGCCTGGACTGCCGGGCAGAGGGAGGCCTTCTTTGCCCGCCTTCGCCGCGCCCACAAGGTAGGTAGGCAGCCCCAGAAAGGGGGGGGGGGCTCGGCACCAGAGCCTGCCGCGGGGGGAAGGGGGCGAAGCGCCTGGCGAGGCAGCAGCCCTCGCGGTGGGAAGTGGGAGCCGCTCAGAGCGGGCGGCTCTGCAGGGGGCGAGAAGCGGGGGGCCGCGGTTCCACCCCCCACACGCCCATGTCCCATCCTGGCAGAATTCCACATCCCTCACGGAGGAGCAGCTGCGGAAGGACGTGGCCGCAGGCTGGATCCCCCGCTCCGTGGGTGCCGGGAGCAGGGCCAGGCGAGCCACCCAGGTACTGGGCGTGGAGGGTGCTCCGCGGGTGCAGGGCAGGCTGGGCCGCGGCCCCGTCCCGTCCGGGTGCCGGAAGGGCTGGGGCAGGCGTCCTGCGGAGGCGGCTACGGGCTGGGAGGCCGTGGGATGAGACGGCCACCTCCCCGCTGTGCCGTCTCACCACCTTTGGCGTGAGAAGACCTCTCCGTGCCGCACGCCTCCCTCTCGGCCTTCTCTCTGGCCCTTTCCTCCTCCTCCTCCTCCTCCTGCCTTCTTTCTCCCTCTCTGCTCGACCTTCAGGCGTGGCAAGACCAGCTGCGGCGAGACGCCGAGATCTGGGAGATGCTGTCCCACCTCACTGGGGGGCAGGCGGCCTCTTCCCCTCAGGCTCTGGCCGCCCCCAAGCCCCCTCCAGCGGCTCAGCGGAGGCCCCCTGCCGCCCGGCCGGCCCCCCTCGCTGGCCCCCTCCTCAGGGCTCCCCCCCGCTCCGCCGTGCCCCCTGCCCGGGCCCCTCTGCTCCCCGTCTCTCTGGCCACTGCTCCTGGCACACGCCCCCAGGTAGGACTCTGCCTCCCTCGTTGGTGCCGCGTGTGCATGTGCGTCTGTGCGCATGCACCTTCAGTGCTCCACCCGCCGCGCACATCATGCCGCCCACCCGGGTCGCTTTCCCCTGGCCTGGGGGAGGCAGGGTGCGCTGTGCCCCTCCGCGCAGCGGGGTGGGGCAGAGATGGCTGGGGCCAGGCGGGCCGGCTGCCCCCCGGCTGCCCCCTCCTGCAGCAGCAAGCCAAGGGTCCTCCCCCCAGCCGACCCAGGGGGCCTGCCACCAGCGGGGGGGCTGCCCCCTTGCATGCAGCTTCAGTGTTCAGCATGCGGTGGCATGTCTGTGGGGCAAAGGAGCGGTCTGTGGGTGGGATACTGCCCCCGGGGAGGGTGGCGCGAACCGGCTTCTCTCGGGCCCAGACGAGAAGCGCTGCCCAGGCGTCCTGACCGTGCGACGAAACCGGTGGGATGGGCGGCCACAGCGCCCGAGCGTCTCCCCCCTGGCCCTTGCTCCCCCACAGCATGCGCAGCGCGAGTTTGGGAGCGGGGCCCCGCAGCCCCGTGGGCGGGATCCGCAGCACGGGCTTGTCCGGAGCCTGCCGCAGGAGTGCCCCCCCGCCTGCCCGCCCCCCCGCATGCCGGGCCGTGCTCCGGGCCCCCCTCCAGCGCCGCAGCCCCACCCTCTCCTCTTCTGTCTCAGCACCAGCTGCTCTTCAGGGGCTTCCCGCTGCTTCCCGAGGCCACTTTCTACTGGGAGCTGCCCGAGGCCTTCCTGGGGGACCAGGTAATTCCCCCGCCGGGGAGGGTCCCGATCCTCGGGCCCGCCCCTGCACCCCCAGGCCGCCTCCACCCCAGCCTCAGATCTCGGAAGGGCGTGCGCGATGGCGTCGTGTCGCGTGCAGCTGGCTCCGCCGCGGGGGCCCCAGGCGTGGCAGGCGAGGGCGAGGCCGCATCGGCTGGTTCTACCGCCCAGGAGTGAATCCGGTCGCACCCGGTGCCGCTTCTGGGCAGGCGTGGCGCGGGGCGCGTGGTTCGTGGTTGACAGAGGCGTGTTCCTTCGGACTGGGAAGCAATTGGCGCTTTGGCGGGAGGTGGAGGGGGGGCGAGGGGCGCCCCGGTGGGGTGTCTTGGGCCACCTCAAAGGCTATCAGTAGCCTGGGTCAGTGGCCTCGGGCAGGAGTCCCTCAAGACCTAGGCTGCCGCCGCCTTGCCCTGTATCACCGGAAATTCCTCTGCCCCGAACGGGCTAGAACTGATGTAAGGAACTTCCGCTTGTGTCAGAATCCAGCTCGGTCCCTCTCCTTGCAGCTGCATCTGGGCCGCACGGGGAAAGGGAAGGGGGGAGATCCGCTCTGCTTCCAGATGTGCTGAAGCGCCGCAAGGGGCGCCTGATTTGGGGAAGCCCGCTGAGAAAGCGCCGACCAGAGCTGGCTCAGGACGAACTTTCCCGCTGAGGCCAGGAGGGGGTGACCGGGGGGCATTGTCTCCTGGCCTGGCTCGGCTCACCCTGCGGGGATGCTGTGAGGGCAAACGAGGCAGGGAAGGAGTCGCCCAACGCTGCCCCGGGAACGGGCGTGAGAAATGCGCCCGGCCCCAGTGCGGCCAGCCAAGAGGCACGCGGGGCAGCCGGTGCCAGAGAGGGCGGCTGGTTCTCCTTGCGCGAGTGCCCCTGGAGCAGCCGGGCCTGCCGACTGACGGCTGCCTCTCCCGCCCGCAGGTCGGGTCCTACGGGGGACGCCTTCGCTACACTCTGTCCTATAACGCCGGGGAGAGAGGCACCCCGCTGCCCGACGCCGCCGTGCAGATAACCGTAAGGACGGGGGGCGCTGGGAACTCGCGTCTGATGGGCAGGGGAGCCCGGCGTGCCCTGCACGGGGGGGCGGTGGCTGTGCCGCCGGCAGAGCGGTGCGGGGTGGGATGTTGTGGGTGCGAGGGACGGCCGGCACACGCGTCCCGTGCTCTCCGTGTTGTCCCTCTGCAGGGCAACGACATCACGCTGGTGGCCTACCTGCCCGAGCTCCAGCCCCGTGAGCGCCGCACCTTTGAGGTCCCCTTCCGGGAGGTAAGGCTGGCCCCTGGCCAGCATCCCGACACGCTGCATGACTTTGCCCGTGGCGGGGACTTCTCTGGGGTGGCCCTGCCGGGGGAGATCCAGGGGGGCACGAAGCGTACGCGCCCCTTTGTTGTTCGGGCCTTCCAACATTTTTGATTTTTCCACTGAGCGAGTGGCCTGGTTTTAGCGTGGCTTCCCGGCAGAAGAGTCACGGTGGCCGCCGGTCTGGGACGGCACGTGGACGGCACCTGAGCTGCTCTGTCGGGTTCAGTGTCACGCTCGCCGCTGTGCGGCCCCCCGTTGCTCGGCTTGGCTGCTCCCCGCTCACCCAGCCCTTCCGCCAAAGCCTGTCCCAGAGCGGCAGATCACTGAGGCGAGCGAGCAGCCCCGCCGGGGGGCAGAGCGATGCCACGCGCCCCATGCCGGACCCCTCTCCCCGCAGCAATTCTGGAAGCGGCCCGACGGGCAGCCCGCCACCCGGGAGCACCTGCTGATGGCGCTGGCGGACCTGGACGAGATCCTCGTGCGCGCCACCTTCTCCACCGACATGGTGTCGGCCAGCATCGCCGGCGTCGGCCTGGAGACCGCCGTGCCCACCTACACCAGCCTCGGCCGGGCCCTGGAGGTGGAGCAGTGCCGCTGCCCCCCGGGATACCAGGGACTTTCCTGCCAGGTGGGCCCCCCCGCCGGAGCTGCCGGGCTTTCTGGGCGCCTCTGCCGGGCCCGGGGACCCTCACCCCCTCTCTGCCTTGCAGGACTGCGCGGCCGGCTACACCCGCACGGGGAACGGCCTCTACCTGGGCCACTGCACCCTGTGTGAATGCAACGGGCACTCGGACTCCTGCCACCCCGAGACCGGCGCCTGCTCGGTGAGCCTCCTTCCCTGGGCCTGGTTCCTTGCCGGCAAGGCCGTGTCGCTGCAGAGCACGCGCCGAAACCCCGGGCTTGTATCGCAGAGGTGCGCCGTAATATAAAAAGTCTGCGCATCTGAGCACTGGGAGTGCGTTCCAACGTGGAGAGCTCGGCGAGGCCCGATCACCGCCGGTGCTGAGTGCCGGGGCTCGCTCCTCTCAGGTTGCCGGATGAGGCCGGAACGCTGGGCCAGTCCAGCAGAAAGCCGCCGGCCGCCTTCAGCCTCTTCCTTCTGCCCCCGCAGAGCTGCCTGCACCAGACGGCCGGGGAGTTCTGCGAGCAGTGCGCACCCGGCTTCTACGGAGACGCTACCGCCGGCACGCCCGAGGACTGCCAGCCCTGCGCCTGCCCGTTGCCGGACCCCGAGAACCAGTGCGTGCCCCTCGCCTCTTCCGGGGAGGGTGGGGGCCTGGCAGCGGCGGCGGCGCAGCACAGGGCCCCGGCCCAGGCCTGGCAACAGCTCTCCTGTCTCCCGCCAGGTTCTCGCTGACGTGTGAGAGTCTGGCCGGCGGAGGCTATCGCTGCACGGCCTGCGAGCCGGGCTACACCGGGCAGTACTGCGAACAGTGAGTGCCCCGGGGGGGGGCGGGGGGCATCTGGCAGAGTTGGTCGCGCGGCTGCCCGGGAAGCATTCGAAGACGCCCTGACGTCCTAACCGGTGTCCGTCACCCCTCTCACTCCACTTTGTGGAGCCCCCGGGCCCCCTCAGAGCCCCCTTCCTCCCCCCCCCCGCGGGCCCTGAGGTCTCCAGACCCAGAGGTGCTTTTCCTCCTGGAGTCGTTCCTGAGCCGCGAGGTGAGGAGGCTTGGGAGGGCTGCCGCTCTCCTCTCCACATGCAGCAGCAGCCCCTTCCCCAAAGCGCCCCCCCCCGGGGCAATAGAGCCCAGCTGCGGATGAGCTGGGGGGGGGGCATTAACTGAGCACTTACGTTACCTGCAACGATTTGGAGAGCAAAGGAATGGGCTGGCTTTGCCTCGGGTGTCATCCGGAGGCCTCCTGCTGAGTCTTTTAAAAAGTGCACACACGGACGTGGATCGCTCGGCAGGTTTCGTGCGGCTGCGCATCCCACGGGGCCGTGCCATGCCGTGCCCACGCCTGGCTCCTCCGGCGTGCCAAGGCCTCCTGCTGGGGAGCGCCAGGCTGGCCCCGTCCGGCGCCCCGGCGGAGCCTCTCGCCAGCCGCGTGGCTCACCCACACCTTCGCTCCCTTCCAGGTGCGCTGCGGGCTACACCGGCAACCCCAACATCCGCGGGCAGAAGTGCGTGGCCGTGGGTGAGTGAGGGCCGCCCGGTCGCGGGCGGGGGGCGTGGAGGAGCCGGGCTGGGCACGGGCCCCCGGCAGCCACCCCCAGGGGAGGCCGCCGGCGGGGTGGGGTGGGGTGGGGCTGCAGCAGCACCCTCCCCACGCTCCCCAGCCCACACGTGGGCTGAGGGCCTCTGAGGCCGCAGCTGGAACCGCCCCTGCAGGACTGGCAGCCGTGGACGGCCACTCGCTCAGTTCCTCTCGAGCCGGTCAGCTCTCGGGGAGCCCGTCCCGCGGCCCGATTGCGGGGTGTGGGCGCAGCCGCCTGCCTTTTGCCTGCCCTGAACGCTGCCCCACGCGGCTTGCCCCGCCGGCCCGGGCCCCACTGCGGCAAGCGAGCCATCGCTGACCAGGCACCTCCGTCCCCCCAGGAGCCCTGGACCAGCCGCCCCTCATCGTGCGGGTCCACCCCCCGCGGACCGCCGTGTCCCAAGGCAGTGAGGTGACGCTGCGGTGCCACGCCGGGGGGCCGCCCCCCCCACTACTTCTACTGGTCACGGGAAGATGGGCGCCCCGTGCCCAGCTCGGCCCAGCGCCGGCGGCAAGGTGAGTGCCCGCCCCTTGCCTGCTCCCCGCCGGACCGTCGGCACGGGGGGCCCGGGGACCCCGGAGGCCCACCCAGTGTAGGGGAGCAGGTGCCCCCAACCCGGGGGGCTTGCAAACCCCTCGCCGCGTTTGGAAGTGGGCCGGACGCCTCTGCCGAGCCCGTTCTGTGCTGGGGGCAGCCCCCGGGGCAGGGGCAGGCTCCCCCCGGCGGCTGACGCCCCCCGCCCCCCGCAGGGGTGGAGCTCTTCTTCCCCAGCATCCAGCCCGCGGAGGCCGGCGTCTATGTCTGCACCTGCCGCACCGCCCGGTACAGCAACTCCAGCCGTGCGGAGATCGTCGTCACGGGTGAGGGGTGCCGCTCCTGGGGAAGGGCCCGGGTGGGGGCTTGGGCCAGAGCAGGGCAGCCGGCGAGGGGCCGAGTCCCCGGGAAGGCCCCTGCTGCCCCCGCCCCGGGAAGGCCCCTGCTGCTCATTCCCTGCTCCCACCCCACAGAAAGCCCCAGCAAGCCCATCGTGGTGACGGTGGAGGAGCAGAAGGTGCAGACCGTGAGGCCCGGGGTGGACGTCACCTTCGTGTGCACGGCCAAGAGCAAGGTGAGCACCCTCCCCACTCCCCCCGCCCCGGATTCCTCTGCCCCGGACGGGACCGGGTTGCAGCTTGCCGTGGGTGCCGTCGTTCTGGCTGCAGCAGTCCTCGCACAGCCCTGCGGCCACTCGCCTCGCCCACCTGGCTCTGTCCAGGTGCGCCGGGCGGCCTCTTCCGGAGTGCCTGGCACAGAGATCAGGGCTCGCCGCCTCGCACGCCCTGCAGGTGCCAAGCCGGGGAGAGCGGCTCGCGGGGAGCAGATGCCAAAGGGCTGCCATGCGCTGCTGGCTGGGGACAGCCCCGCAGGGGATGGGATGGGATGGGACGGGGGCTGCCGGCAGCACGCCCACCCCCCACCCCGCTCTCGCCCCTCTCCCCAGTCCCCTGCCTACACCCTCGTGTGGACGCGGCAGAACAACAGGAAGCTGCCCAGCCGGGCCATGGACTTCAACGGCATCCTGACCATCCGCAACGTCCAGCCGGAGGACGCCGGCGTCTACGTCTGCACCGGCTCCAACATGTTCGACATGGACGAGGGCGCCGCCACCCTCTATGTGCAAGGTAGCCGGAGGCCCGCCGCTGGTGGCTGGCCGCGTGTGCCCCCGGCCACGCTCCGCCCTCCTCCTGTGGGCCTGGGCGGGTGCCTGTGGGGAAGGCGAGGAGGATGGTGGGGGCCGGGAGGGCGTGCAGATCGGCCGGCCGGCCGGCCCAGGGCGTGGGGTTCGGCGCGAGCCCTCTGCTGTGCTGCTTCCATGTTCCTCAGGGGGACCTCAGCCTCGTGCCCCCACACGCTGCTGGCTGCACCTCGAGGAAAGCGCTTCCCGCTGCGCCCACAGCTCAGCCAGCTCTAGCGTCAGCCTGCACCGCAGCTGCGGGGAAACAGTCCTCCGCCAGAGCAGCTCGGGGAGCGCCCCCTGCCGCAGGCGAGGCCTCGGGGGGGCGAGCGAGCCCCGTGCCGCACCGGCGTCCTGCTCCTGGCGAGGGCCGGGACCAGGGCGGCCTGGGTGGACGGAGCCGCCGGCGGCTTGCCCCCTCCTTGGGCCGCGGCTGCGCCAGCCGTGGCAGGGAGCGCCGCCCACCAGCCCGCCCCACGGCTCCAGCGTCCCTCGCCCCTCCCACGCCCCTCCGACACTGTCCCTTGTTTCCAGCTCCGTCTAAGACGCAGATGTTCTATGGACCCGTAGAAGTGGTGGAAGGCCACCGACCCTGTAAGTCGGCCTGGCCGCCCACTGCATGCTCCAGATGCACCGCCGCAGCGGCGATGCCGCCGCCGCCGCCGCCGCTGCCACCTCAGCCGCTGCCCCCCATGGTGTCCTGCACCCGATGCTCACCCCCACACGCCCCAGCATGCTGCACGGCCGGGAGAAGGCGCCCGCCCCGGAGGGAGACCTCCAGACGGCCCTCGGCTGCCCAGGCCTCACGCCGCGCTCCTTCCGTACCTGGCTGAGCTGTAGGGCCCCGGAACGTCCCGTTTGCGTGTGCATGGCAGGTCTTGTTTCCCAGATTTCTGCTCGCAGCCCCGGCAGGCGTGGAGCTCTCCGGGCCCCCACTGGCTTCCCCGCCTCTCCTGATGTGCCTCTTTCTGTCCCGTGCCAGCCGCAGCCTCCGTCCACCCCACGGCCACCATTGAGCCCGCGCAGCTGAGCGTCCAGCCAGGCCAGCCGGCCGAGTTCCGCTGCATCGCCACAGGGAGCCCCGAGCCCACGCTGGAGTGGATCGGTGAGTCCTGCCCCGGCGGAGCCCGCCGCGCCACCTCTTCCAGCCATGCGCAGAGCAGCCGGCCAGAGCACAGCGGGCGAAGCGCACGGCCGTTGCGGAGCCCCTGGCGTGCAAGCGGGAGCTGCTTTCGGGTGGGGGCTGGGTGGCCGGCCTCCGGCAGACGAGGCTGCCCAACCGCCAAGGTCCGGTTCTTCGAAGGCCCAGTGCCCGCACGCACGGCTTTCCTCGTCCCTCCCCATCCTGTCTTCCTTACATACTCCGCCATCTCGCTTGCGAGCTTGAGGTGCGGACCGTCACTGCTGACCGATCTGCAGGATGACTGGGAGCCTTCTTGGAGAAAAAGGCTTTTTGAACGCCCAGTAATGCCCGCCGACCTCCCTCGCTCTTCCAGGTGGGCCGGGGGGCATGATCTCCCCAAGGGCCGTCATCCGTGGCGGCGTCCTGCGCTTCCCCGCCGTCGAGCCCTCCGACGAGTCGCAGTACCTGTGCCGCGTCCGCAACAGCGCCGGGCAGCACATGGCCCGCGCCTTCCTGCAAGTGCACAGTAGGTCCGGCCGGCCGGCGGAGGGGAGGGGAGGGGAGGGCTGTGCGCCCGTCCGCCTGTCCGTCTGCGCAGGGCCAGAGAGGCTGCTGTGCCCCCCCCCCCGAGGTCCGGGCAGAGGCGTGGGCAGAGGCGTGGGGCGGCCCTGCTCTTTTCCCGTCAGAGCTACTGCCTGGGGACTGAGGCACCATTCATACGCAGCACCAAAGTCCACCATTCCTGCCTGCGGCATGCGAGTCACGGGTGGGGAGGAGCCGCGCTGCCGGGCGCCTCGGCCTCACCTGCCCTCTGCCCCCCGCCAGGTGCCAGCATCCCGCAGGTGCAGGTCAGCCCCGAGCGGACGGAGGTGCACGAGGGCAGCACCGTGAGGCTGTACTGCCGGGCCGCAGGCTCCCCCGCAGCCACCATCACCTGGGAGAAGCAGGGGGGCAGCCTGCCCCCGCAGGTGAGGCCCCGCCCCTCCCTCCCTCCCCCCCGCGTGTGGAGGGGTGGGCAGAGGAGGGCCTGGGAGACACGCAGGCGGCGCCGAGGAGCCAGAGCCCCCGGCACAGGCCTGCTTCTCTCTGTGGGTTCGGGGGCTGAGCGTGGAATGGGCCTGCAGGGGCAGAAGCTCTGGGGGGGCAGCAGAGCAAGGGGGTCCTTCAGGGCACTGCAAGACTGCCTTTCTAGCCTTTTTTTTTTTTCTCTCTCTGACCTTCCTTCCTTCCTTCCGTCCGTCTGTCCGTCCATCTGTCCTTCCTTCCTTCCTTCCTTCCTTGCTTCCTTCCGTCCGTCCGTCCTTGCTTCCTTCCTTCCTTCTTTCCGTCCGTCTGTCCTTCCTTCCTTCCTTCCTTGCTTGCTTCCTTCCGTCCGTCCTTCTCCCCTCCTGTCCCCGGGCCCGCCCTGTGCCTGCCTCTGTCCCCTTCCTCCTCGGCCAGGCTCTCCCCGTCTTTGGCTTCTTCCACTTCCAAGGCGGCGGCCTGGACCTCCTCCGGCAGCGGATCGAGGGGCTCCAGCAGGTAGCTCCTTCTGGCACAGCACGTCCGGGGCTGGCCACTGCTCGGGGGCTGCTGTCCCCCTCCCTCGCCCCGATGCTCCCCCTCGCCTGCCCCGGCCTCTCCTGGTCTCCGGCCGCAGGCTGCCAGTGCAGAGACGTGGGTCATTCTCCATCCGGGGGCCGAACTCCGTCCTGCACCGAGGTCCTGTGCTAGAGGAGGGGCGCTTCGGCTGCCACGCAGCGGCTGGGGAGTCTGCCCCCCCCCCACGGCTTCTGCGTCACCCCCCACGCCGTCATTGCAGCAAGACAGGTGTCCGGGACGCGCCATCGCCTTTGCCCTGAGCGCAACTCTAGCTTGCGCCTGCCTGTCAGTGGGGCTGGTGCGCCGCCACAGCGCTCAGCACGCTCTCCGCCCTTGCAGTCGCGCGCCGAGCAGACCGACATCGCCACCTTGGTGATCCCCGCCATAACAGCCGCCGACGGAGGAGTGTACCTGTGCGTGGGGCGCAGCGCCGCCGGAGTGGGGCAGGCCCGGATCGAGGTGGTGGTGGTGGCAGGTAAGGCGCCAGCTCGGGCCGCGGGGCCGCCTGCCCTCTTTTCCTGGCTTCGCGAGCGGCTCGTGCGGGGGGCACTGCTGGCTGCAGACCGGGATGAAGAGGAGTTCTCCCCCCCGCCCCGCTTCTCCTGGCAGCTTCAGGCGCTTCGCCAGCAGTGCGGATTGAATCCTCCTCTTCCTCGGTGACGGAGGGGCAGACCTTGGACCTGAACTGTGTCGTCGCTGGCCAGCCGGCCGCTTCCGTCAGGTGGTACCGGCGAGGAGCTGCCCTGCCGGCCAAACACCAGGTGCAGGCACCCCGAAAGCTGGAGGCCCGCTGACCCCCGGGGGGCGGACCCAGAGCGCGCTCCCAGGTGTGGGTGGGTAGAGGCCCCCCGGCGCGATTGGCTCGATTTGCCGGTCGAGCGCGAGGCCCGCCTTGTCGGGGGCGCCTTCATTGCCTGCCTGCCTGCCTGTCTCGGGGGAGGGCAGCCAGCCGCCTTCCAAATGTTTTGGCCCGCAACTCCCATGGTCCACCACCCTCGACTGCTGGCTGGGGCTGCCCGGCCGAAGCTGCTGGAGGGCCTCGGGGGGCCCTCCCCTCGCCTGTCGTCTCTGCCCGGCCGGGGGCCACGTCTCCCTCCCGGGGCCGCTTCTCTCAAGCTGCACGGGACGCTTTTGCCCTGTTTAATCCCGGTGACAGCCCTGCGAGGCGGGCTGTGTGCCCGCGCAAGGAGCCCCGGGTTGCGAGCGTGCCCCACCTTCTCCCGCTCAGGTTTACGGGCCGCTCCTGCGCATCCCAGACGTCTCCGCAGCCGACTCGGGCGAGTACGTCTGCCAGGTCAGCAACGGGGCCGGCCCCAAGGAAGCCTCCATCTCCGTCAGCGTGCGGCAGGGCCACGGCCCCGTGCACGGTAAGTCCGGGCGGCTGCTCCGGCCGCTCCAAGGGGACGGGGCAGGAGAAGCCGCGGCAGGGCCTGCACCGCGCCCTGGGGCCCAGCCCCCCGCCCCCCGAGCGGCTGGGGTCCCCGCCGCGGGGCCGCCGCCTCTTCCCCGAAGGCAGGAGGGCAGGGATGCTGCAGGCAGCCCCGCGTTCCGGCCCCCGGCCACGCCTGCTGCCCCACCTGCGCGCCCCCCGAGAGCCCGGGCGTCCTCGGACCGGACCCAGCAGGCCTGCTCCCTCCGCAGGAACGCCTTCGGTCGGGATCGAGTCCCCGTCCCCGTCCGTCAGCGAGGGGCAGGCCCTGGACCTGAACTGCCTCGTCTCCGGCCTGGCGCGGCCCACGGTCGTGTGGTACAAGCGCGGGGGCGCGCTTCCTGCCAGCCACAAGGTACGGCGCTGCGGAGGCCTCTGGCCTGCCGGTGTCAGGCCCCTGGCGCGCCTGGCAGGCCCTTCCGCTTCCTGGTTCGCGCAAAGAGGTGAGGCTGCCTTTCGGCCCGCTCAGGTTTCCGGCTTCCACCTGCGGATCCCGGCAGCCGCCCTGGAGGACTCCGGCGAGTACGTGTGCCGCGTGAGCGACGGCGCCAGCGGAGCGGTCCGCGAGGCCTCCATCGTGGTGACGGTTCACAGCGCCTCCCACAGTGAGCTCCGCGCCTCGTTCCACCCCTCTGCGCCCCGGGAGGTGCTTGGGGCCGGGGGCTGCGGGCTGGAGCCGGGGAGGGTCAGGCAGCCTCCCGGTGGGGGTCGTGGCCTGTGTCACACACTGGGCAGCTGATCAGGAGCGGGGGCTTCGTTAGCAGGTGCTAGGGGAGGAGGGAGGGCCGCTTTCAGGCAGGGTGCAAGCCCCCCAGGCCCCCGGCCGAGTGTGGCCCCCTGGCCAAAGCCTTCCGGATGGCCGTGCCCCTCTCCTCACCCCCCGGGGGCTCCTGGCGTCCATTCCCGGGCTGCGTGAGCGCACCGTGCTTTCCTTCTTGGCCAGATTCGCGTTGCGCCCACTCAGCCACAGGCTGTCCGGAGGGCTCCCAGCATGCAACGCACCCGCGAAAGCCAGCCCGAGGCCGGCATCGGCGGCCCCTTCGCCTCCCGGCTCCACTGACCACAGCCGTCTTGCTTCCCAGCCTCAGGGGTCACGCCAGCACTGCGAATCGAGTCTTCGTCCCCCTCCGTGGTGGAAGGCCAGACGCTGGACCTGAACTGCGTGGCCGCGGGCCAGGAGGGGGCCACCATCATGTGGTACAAGCGAGAGGGCGCCCTGCCGCCGGGCCACCAGGTGCGGGGCGGGGCGGGGCGCCGGCCGGGGTCTTTCCGCGGGTGGCAAGGCCCTCCCGCCCCAGCGCTGAGCGCCCCCGTCTCCCCGCAGGCCTCCGGCTCCCGCCTACGCATCCCGCAGGCCTCGGCCGCCGACTCGGGCGAGTACATCTGCCGCGTCAGCCTGGGCCCCGTCACCCGAGAGGCCTCCGTCCTCCTCTCCCACAGCAGCTCCTCCTCCAGTAAGCGCGGCCCCCGCGGGGGGGGGCGGGAGGGGGCCGGGCCGCCCCGCGGGGACGCCTGGCCAGGCCTCACCCCCCCTCCCCTCTGCCCCCCAGGCTTGGGCATCGTGCCCGCCGCGAGGATCGAGGCCTCCTCCCCGCACGTCCGCGGAGGGCAGACACTGGAGCTGGACTGCATCGCCGCCCGCCCGGCCCGGGCCACCGTCACCTGGTACAAGCGCGGGGGCGCCCTGCCAGCCGGCCACCAGGTACGGGGCCACCCCCACGGCCCGGGACGTCCCCCGGCAGCCGGCCAGCAGCCGGGCGGGCCCCGGTCACCTTCCGCGGCTCGTGAGGAGCGGCTCTGGGGGGCTGCCCCCGCCACGTGCCGCCTAGCGCCTGTCGTCTCACGGCCTGCTCCCGCCCGGGACCGGATCCCTTCAGCCTCGAGGAGCGTTTCTGTGTCTTCTTTTTAAAAACAGGCTTAATAGAAATGCGCAGGTGGCAGCTGCTGGCTTGGAAGAGGCGCTCTGCTTCTCACGAGTAATGGGGTGGGAGAGGGCAGGAGGGACCTCTGCCGGGGCAACGGGCCCTCCGGCACAGGGGCCTCAGAGCGCCCCCCACTTCAGCACCACTTGCCCTCCTCCCACGCGACCCACCGGTTAACTCGCCCCAACGCCTCCAGTGCCGCAGCCCAGCCCCCCCGTCTCCCCCAGTCCCCGTGACGGCGGCGGCGCTCTCATTCTAGGCCTTCGGATCCCGCCTGCGGCTGGTCAGAGTCTCTTCCGCGGACTCGGGCGAGTACGTCTGCCGGATCAGCTACAACGCCAGCGCCAGCCAGGAGGCGTCCGTCTTCATCACCGTCCGGCAAGACGGCACTGCCCCCTTCCGTGAGTCCGGGTCCCCCGCCGCGGGGAGAGGCTGGCGGAACGGAAGGTCGGGGACAGGGTCACTCAGCCGCTCGAACCGTGGCCCCAGAAGCGCCTCCGGAAGGGCTTGGGTCTTGGGGCAGCGGAGGCTCGGCACCCTCGGCGCAGACCCTCGCGGCCGGCCCTTGGCGCTGCAGGGCAGAGAGGGAGGGCCGGCCGGCCGCCCGGGCTGTGGGCCGCCCCATACCGCAGCAGCGCGCCTTGCCCACCGCCCGTCCCCGTTGTGCTTCTTGCAGCCCCCGGCGTGACGTCCCTGCTGCGCCTCGAGGCTTCCTCGGCCCCCTCCGACGAGGGCCACACGCTGGAGCTGCGGTGCCTCGTGGCGGCCCCCGCCGCCCAGGCCAGCGTCTCGTGGTTCCGGCGAGGAGGCCCCCTGCCGGCCAGTCACCAGGTATGGGGGCCCGCCAGCCCCAGGCTCCGTCCCCAGAGGGGCCCGCCAGCCCCAGGCTCCGCTCCCAGCAGCCCCACCGACCGAGCGCGTGCCGTGTCCCCCACAGATCTCCGGCCCCCTCCTGCGCATCCCGCAGGCCTCGGCGGCCGACTCCGGGGAGTACGTGTGCCGGGTCAGCGAAGGCTCGGCTGTGCACGAAGCCGCCCTCCTCGTCACCATCCGGGACGCCGTGGGCTCCTCCTTCTGTACGTCTCGGAGCACCCCTCGGAAGGGGCTTGGGGTGGGCGGGGGAGGCCTGTCCCTTGCCGGCGTGTGAGCACGGGATGCAGGGGGAGGTCCCGAGGCCCGGACCCTCGCACCCCAGACACAGACTCGGGACGCGGCTCAGCGAGCCAGTCCCGGCAGCTTTCCCTTCTTCAGCACCCCAGCTCGTGTCGGGGCCGCAGCCGGTGGCGGAGGGGCGGAGGATGTGGCCCGCCCACTCAACGGCGTGCCGAGGGGCCGCCCCTCGCCCGCCCGCCCCTTCTCTCCTCTCCTCTCCTCGCCTGTGACTTCCCTTTCGCCTCTGGCCTTGCCAGCCGTACACGCAACTTCCCCGATCCGGATCGAGGCCTTGTCCCCGTCCGTCGTCGAGGGCCAGACCGTGGACCTGAACTGCCTGGTGCCGGGCCAGTCCCAGCCGCGGGTCGTGTGGTACAAGCGGGGGGGCACCCTGCCCGTCAACGCCCAGGTAGGGGAGGCGCCGGGGCGGAGAGGCCGGGCCGCGGGAGGGCTGTTCCCTGGGGAGTGGGCCGCGGCCGGGGCCTCTTCCCACCCTCGGCCAGCAAGCAGGGAGGCAGGCGAGTCTGGCCAGAGGGCAGGCCTGTGGGGCAGCCCTCCAGCCCTTCAGGAAGGCGCTGCCCCGAGCGATTTGGTGATCGCTGGCACACAGAGGTGTTCAGTGGACGGACGGACGGACGGGTGCCCTGACCACGCTCTGCCTCCCGGCGTTTCCCTCCTGGGAGCAGGTCCTCGGAACACACCTCCGGATCCTGCAGGCTTCGGCGGCCGACTCGGGGGAGTACATCTGCTACCAGGACAATGCCCCCGTCCCCCGGGAGAGCTCGGTGTTCATCTCCATCCCCAGCAGCTCAGGCCCCCCGCCCGGTGCGTGTCTTCCGGGGACGCCTGTGGGGCTGGCTGTGGGAGCGCTGGGGGCTCTTCGCCTTGGCTTGCGGGAGCCGTCTCTGCGGGGCCGGGGCTCTCGGGAGGGGGATCCGCCCCGCCCCCCGCTGCTGAAACCAGCCCCTCCGCTTCTGGCAGAGCTGGGCTCAGGCGCGAGGGCTCCAGGAGACAAACGGCATCTCCCGATGCTGAACGTTGGAGTATTTGTATTGTGCGGTGCGAAATAACTAGACTGCACCACGAAAGGGAAACAGTGCGCGTGCATAAGTAAAATATCTGAATCATACGTAAAAAAAGCAGAAGATCCAATCTGGACCCCGCATGCCCCAGAGCTCCTTGTAAAGTGAGAGAGAAAATGCACTTTGCATATGTTCAAGTTGCTCTCTGCCTGTTTTGGTCTTGCTTCATATGCTTTTGCTTTGGGAACTGATGACAGAGGCGGGTGCTGGGGCCCAGCTCAGCGTAACTAAACTAGGAAAGGCTCCTGCCGCAGCTTGGGGGGAGCCGGGGAGGAAGCCGCCTGCTAACCGGGGCCCTCCTCTTGCTCCGGCAGCCTCTGGGGCGATCCTGCCGGTGCGCATCGAGTCCTCCTCCTCTTCCCTCGTGGAAGGACAGACCCTGGAGCTGAACTGCCTGGTCGCCGGCCAGCCACAGCCCAAAGTCACGTGGTCCAAGAGAGGAGGGGCCCTCCCCGCCAACCACCAGGTACGGCGGCAAGGCCGCCTCTCCCGCGTCCCCGGCTTGTCGGCGGGCCCAGAGCACCCAGGCGGTTACGGGAAGGTGCTCACGTGGTCCCGGAAACGGAGAAGCGCCCGCCTGCGGGGCTTGCTCGTGGCTCAGGGCCCCCGGCAGCAGAGTTCCTGGCGCCCTCCCATCCGGGACGGAGCTGGGCTGGCGTGAAGGTGCAGTGGGCCAGTGCGGGGGGCGGGGGTCAGACTTCCGTGCGCCCACAAGCCCCAGAGGAGGGAGGAGAGCAGTGCACGGGCAAGAACGGGGGGGGGGGGGCGAGGCAGAGCGCGCAGCCCGGCAGGGCCCTGATGCTTCCCTTTCGAGCAGGTCTCGGGCACGCGCCTGCGCATCCCGCAGGTCTCCTCCGCCCACTCCGGAGAGTACGTCTGCCGCGTCAGCAGCGCTGGTGTGACCCAGGAGGCTGCGTTGCTGGTCACCATCCAGGACGGTGAGAGCCCGGGGAGGCTGGCGGCGTCCCTCGCCCCCCCCCCCGGCATTCTGGTCACTCGGCTGCTTGAGGACTGCCTCGAGGCTCAGATCTCCCCTTTCTTTGTGCCGTAGGGGCTGCGCCATCTCTGAGGATTGAGGCTTCGTCGACTTCCGTCGTCGCAGGAGACACCCTGGACCTCACCTGTGTCGCCCCCGGCCAGCCGCACGCCACCTTCACGTGGTCTCGCCGAGAGGGCGCCCTGCCCGCCGGCCACCAGGTACGGGAGGGCCTCAGCCCAGGAGGGCTTTTCCGGCGGCGGGCCGGGAGGGCCCAGGATGCCGTGAGGCGGCCTTGCCCACCCCCGTTCCACTCGTGCAGGTCTCCAACGGTCGCCTGCGGCTCGTGAAGCTCGCCCCAGCCGACTCCGGCGAGTACGTGTGCCGCGTCGCTGGAGGAGCGGCCCCGCAGGAGGCGTCCTTCGTCGTCCCCGTCCCGGCTGGTGGCAGCGGCAGCGTTTCACGTAGGTCGAACGTCCCGGAGGGGCGCGCGGTCCATTTAATAATGGGGGGCGGCCAGGGGGGTCTGGCGCCTCACCAGCACCGTTTGCCCGCAGGCCTGCAGAGCCCCATCATCTCCATCAGCCCCCACAGCACGGCGGTGCGCCGGGGGGCCGACGTGGCCTTCAGGTGCCAGGTGCACGACGGCGCGCAGCCCATCGAGCTCTCCTGGAAGCTGCCCAACAACCAGCTGCAAGGTGGGCCGCAGCCCCGTCCCGTCCGGAGGCCACAGCAGCCCCGCCGGACTGCTGGGAAATGGCCCCACGTCCGCCCGGCTACCCGCTCCCTGACCTGAGGATGTGGGGCGGGGGCCACCCCAACCAGGCCCGGCGAGACCGGGTCCCAGGCCGTGGGGATGGGGAGGAGGCCGGCGCCCGAGGCCTCAGTCTGCTGACCCCCAGCCGCCTGGCCGTGCGGCCCGCCACGTGGGCCCCCTCCGCTTGCCGGCGTGAACTGCGGCAGAGCAAGCGCCGAGCAGCCGGGGAAGCACAGGGCCCTGCCCGGAAGAGTCCCCGGGAGGGGCTGGGGGGGGCCCCCGCGGGGCCGCCTGCGACGAGCCCGCGGGACCCCTCCTCTCTCCCTCTCCCTGCAGAGAACGTGAGGATCAGCCCCAACGGGTCCGTGCTCAGCATCACGGGTGCGCGCCCCCCGAACCAGGGCGCCTACCGCTGCGTCGCCTCCAACCGATTCGGGATCACCAACAGCGTGGTCAACCTGATGGTGCAAGGTGGGTCACTGCCCCGGCCCCAGCCCCCGTGCGGGCGCCGGCAGGAGGCTGCCGCTGTCGGTGCGACGGGCGTGGGTCGGGCGCCTGCCTGGCATGGGTGCCGCCGGAGGCGTGGCGGGGCACACGCCGGGCAGATCGCCGGGGATGCGCCTGCCCAGCGGACGGGCCGCTCGGGCCCCCGCCTCGCCCAGCAGCGCTTTCAGGCGGGCCCCCCGTCTCTCCCTCCAGGGCCCCCGACGGTCTCCGTGGTGCCCAAGGGCCCCGTGGAGGTGAAGCCCGGCAAGTCCCTCAGCCTGGACTGCCTGGGGGCCGGCGAGCCCCGGGCACTGGTGCGCTGGAGCAAGCTGGGCGCCCGCCAGAAGGTGGAGCACCAGACGCTGCTGCCGCTGGAGAGCCGCGCGGTGCTGCAGGTAGGTCGGGGGGCCGCTGCTTCGGGGTGGGGCGAGCAGGGGCAGCCTTTCTGGCGCAGCGGTGGGTGTCTGGACCCGGCTGCCGGGGCAGAATCTCCAGGCTCCGGCAGCGTCTGGGCTCTGTCCCCTGCCGGAGGGCCTTTTGGAGCCCGCCAGGGCCTTCCCTCTCTGTGGCCGGCCCGGGGCCTGGACCTCTTCGGGCCCCAGCAGGAGCCGCGTGCTGGACCAGGCAGGCTGTCCTGTCTGCGGCGTCCCGGGGCCCCTCCGGCCCCAGCACTTCCCTCCTTCCCCAGCATCCAGGGATGTATTTTGGGCCTGGGCCGCACCTGCCCTCACTCCCTGGGGCGCGTGCCCTGCGCTCTCCCCTCTCCTCTCCTCTCCCCGCCTGGCCCACCCTGTGCCTTCTGCCCTCCCAGATCAAATCTGCCAAGCTGGAGGACGCCGGCACTTACATCTGCCTGGCGCAGAACTCCCTGGGCACGGCGGAGGCGCAGGTGGAAGTGAGCGTGGAGGCCGTCCACGGGAAGCCCGGGGCCCCCCAGGTGCACGTGCACCCCACGCAGGTGGTGCTGGCGGGGGAGACCGCGCGGCTCCGCTGTTCCGCAACAGGTGTGTGTTGGGGGTCTCCTGGAGGGGGAAGGGCGGGAGTGCAGCCCCTGGCCAGCAGCGCACCCCAGAGCGGCTTGGGTGCGTCCGGGGAGCAGCAGGGAGGCTGGGAAAATGCCCCGTGGGGGGCGAGGGGGGCAGGAACGGGGGGGATCTTCTGGGGCCCCGGCAAGCTGGCCGGGTCAGGACTCCAGGTCCGAGGTTCTGCATCCCTGGTTTCGGAACCGGGAGGCTTTGGCAAGGAAGCCAGCCACTCTGTGTGGGCAGCCCAGCAGCGCCGCCGGAACTGGGGGAGCGGCCGCGAGGCCCCCGGCCTGCGGCGCCCCTGCCCTGCAGACAGCCCCCCGGGGCACGCTCCCACGGAGGGGCAGCCGGCCGCGGGACGCGCTCCCCTTGCCCCGAGGAGCGACGCACGCTCCGAGCGGCCGGCCCCGGCCTCAGCGCCCGCTCCCTCTCCCGCCAGGCACCCCCACGCCCAGCATCCACTGGTCCAAGCTGAGGGCCCCGCTGCCATGGCAGCACCGCATTGAGAACGACACCCTGGTCCTCCCACGGGTGGCCCAGCAGGACTCGGGCCAGTACATCTGCAACGCCACCAACTCGGCCGGCTTCACCGAGGCCTTCATCATGCTGGACGTGGAGAGTGAGTGGGGCGGGCAGGCGGGCGGGCACAGCAGCCAGGGCTCCCCCCAGCCCGCTGGCTGCGCAGGCGTGTCGGGAGGGGGCTCCCGCAGGGGCAGCCCCGGGCACCCGCGAGGCCGGCCTCCCCCGGCTGGCTCTCCCCCCGCACGCAGCGTCGCGGCCGTTCGGAACGGGGCAGAGCTCCGTGCGAGAGCTGGGAGGCGGGGCGGGCCGGGGTCCGCCGGGGGGCTCGGGGAGACCGGCCGGGCCTTCCGGGCCCCTGACCTCCCCTCTCCCTCGCCAGCTCCTCCGTACGCCACCAGCCTCCCGGACGCGGCCTCCGTGCGAGCCGGCGACTCGGTGCAGCTGCAGTGCCTGGCCCACGGCACGCCGCCCCTGCACTACGAGTGGAGCAAGGTCAACGGCAGCCTCCCGGGGCACACCGTGGTGCGCGAGGGCATCCTGCGCATGGGCCCCACCACGGCCCGCGACTCCGGGACGTACCGCTGCCGCGTCAGCAACCGGGTGGGCTCGGCCGAAGCTCTGGCCCGGGTCCAGGTGCAAGGTGAGCCGGAGTCGAGCTCCGTGGCGGCAGGGGCCGCCGAACGGCCAGCAGGGAAGGCGGCCGAGGTGGGCGCGCTCCCCGCCGTGCGGGCGCTCCTGGGGCCAGCACTGTGTCCCCCACGTGCGGACGCGGGAGCAGGCGGAGCCGGCCGGAATCTTGGACGAAGCTGCCCGTCCGGGCAGTGCGCGTTCCGGCGCAGAAGTGGCCCACCTGCCGTCCCTTCCGGGGGAGGCCCTCCTCCCCAGCGGGGACACAGAGCACCTTCCCCCTTGCGTCCGTAGGCCCCACTGGAGGACCCCCGTCGGTCCACGTCAGCCCCCAGGGGGACGCGAAAGCCGTGGGCGGCACGGCGGAGTTCGTGTGCTCTGCCGCCGGAGACCCCCAAGCGCGGATCGAGTGGTTCAAGGAGGAGGGGGAGCTGCCCCCCCACCACACCGTCGAGAACGGGGTGCTGCGGTAAGGCGGGTGCCAAGGGAGCCTCCGTCCGTCCGCAAGGATTGCTGGAGCAGAGCTGGGCAGCCGGGGGCTCGTGGGCCTGGCGGAGTGGAGGGAAACGGGCAGCTGTGGGGGGGGGTGACCACAGCGGGGCTCCTGCTCGGCAGCGTGCGGCGTTGGGACCCCCCCGGAGGTGGAACAAGCACTCTGGCGCCTCACTCGGAGGCGGGGGCGCTTTTCCGGGGGCAGCCCAGCGCCCCCGGCTCACTGAGCCTTTTGCTGCTTCCCCGCAGGATCGAAAAGCTGGACCGCGGCTGCCAGGGGGTGTACGTGTGCCGCGTCAGCAGCGCCTCTGGCCAGGCCGAGGAGAGGGTCAAGCTGACCGTCCAGGGTAAGTGGGAGCCGGCCGGCCGGCCGGCCTCTGAGCGGCGCAAGGCCCTGTGGGCTGGCTCCAGTCCCGCAGTGTCCCAGGGCACTCACTCCCCACAGGGCTCCCCCGGTGGTCCCCAACCCACTCGAGCATCCGCCCCTCTCTGGCTGTGGGTCGCCCCCCCGCCCTTGCTCTGAAGGAAGGCGGTGCCCCTCTCAGGGCTTCGCTCCCGGCGGGAAGGGCTTCGGGCCAAAAGGCGCATCTGGGGCCCCGTGCCTTTAGCCTCCGGCCCTCGGGAACGGGGCTCCTGCAGGGCTGCATCTGCTCGGGCCGCGCAGCTCAGCCACGTCGCTGCACGAGAGGCATCCCACGCGCCGGGGAATGGCCGGCTCGTCTTGCCGAGCCCTCGGGGCCTGGCATGGCAGCCACCGCGCCAGCGGTGCCTCTCCCTCGGGGCCCGGCCCGGCCCGGCCCCACTCAGCCGCCGGCACGCCGCCTCTGCCTCCCCGCAGCGCTGCCCAAGGTGATGATCAACATCCGGACGTCGGTGCAGACGGTGCTGGCGGGCAACGCCGTGGAGTTCGAGTGCCTGGCCTTCGGGGACCCCCCGCCCCGCGTCACCTGGGCCAAGGTGGGCGGGCGGCTGCGCCCGGGCGTGCTGGCCAGCGGCAACATGGTGAAGATCGAGCGCGTCGAGCAGGCGGACGCCGGGCAGTACCGCTGCACCGCCGCCAACGAGGTCGGCGCGGTCCAGTCCCACGTCATCCTGCACGTCCAGTGTGAGTGCCCGCCAGGCGCCCCGAGTGGGCGCGCTCAGAACCCGCGGCCGGGAGGGCGCCCGGAGAAGCTCGGGGAGGGCAGGGGAAAGAAGGCCGCGGGCTGCACGGGGGCGGCCCCCTCGCCCCGCTCACGAGCCTCTCTGCTTCTCCCCAGCTGTCCCCCAGATCACGGCCCAGCCGGAGCTGAAGGAGGTTTCCGCAGGCTCCGCGGTGCGCTTCCCGTGCCCGGCGTCCGGGTTCCCCGTGCCAGACGTCGTGTGGACGAAGGTAGCTCACCCGTGGGGCCCCCCGCTCCCCAGAAAGGCCGGCTCGGAGGAGGCGGAGGCCCCCGGCTTCTTGCAGCCGGGGCCGGGGGGGACCGCGCACAGCCCTCGGTCTGTGCCGCTGAGGGGGGGAAGCAGGGGCCGGGCGGGCCGAAGGGGTCCAGCTGAGGCTTGGGGCCGCTCTTCGTCGCAGCTGGAGGGGGAGCTCCCCAGGAGCGTCCGCGTGGAGGGGAACACCCTGGCCATCCCGGCGGCCCACCCGGAGGACAGCGGCATCTACGTCTGCAGGGCGTCCAACAGGCAAGGGAAGGCGGTGGCGTTCTCTGTGCTCAAAGTGCGAGGTGAGCGTGCCGGGCCGCCCGGAATGGGGGGATCGGGGGAATGGAGGGGGTCTGGGCCGCCCCCGAGGCCCCCCACCTTCACGGCAGATGCATCCTCCTAGCCAGCAGACAGCGCTCCCCGGAGAACGCCCCCAGCACAGCGCAGGTTCAGCCGCCCTCCCGGCGGGCCTCGGCTGCTCCTTCGGCTCTCCGCCCCCCGGCCCAAATCCCGAGGGGAGCCTGGCGGGGGCGGGGGCGGGGGGAGGGGAAGGCTGGGGCCGCCCCTCGTGGGGAGGGCGGGGGTCTCACCCCTGCCTTGGTCCCTCCCTTGGCTGCAGAGCGCGTGGTGCCTCACTTCACCCAGAGCCCTCAGTCCTACCTGGTCCTGCCGACCATGAAGGACGCCTACAAGACGTTTGCGATCGAGATCACCTTCCGGGCGGACACGGCGGACGGTAAGCGCAGGGGCCGGGCAGGCGGGGGGCCCCGGGGCCCCCGCCTCAGCACCACCTGCCCTCTCGGACTCTCTCTGTCTTTCTGGCTGCTGGCCGGGCCAGGCCTCTCTGCGGGCCGAGCCCCTCATGCAGCGCTCTCTTCCCCGCCTCACTCTCTTCTTCCTCTCTGCCCACATCTCCCCTCGCCGCCCCCTCTCTGCTCTTCCCTCCCCTGCCCTTTCCAGCTCTCATGCTTTACTCAGGTAAGTTGCATCCGTGCTGGACTGCCGCTTCTTCCCGGAAGGCCGGGTGCCTCTCCTAACCTGCCAGGGTGGCCTGTGCGGCGTGTGGTGTGTGTGGCTTGAGCTGCGCCCGCCCTGCCCTGCCCGCAGGCAGCCCGCTGCAAACTAACCCCCAGATCCGCGGGGGGCTGCTGTGGGCTTGGGGCGCCCGCATTCACCTGCCTGCCTGGCTAGCCGGGCTGCACCCCCCGGGCCTGCCTAACCCCACTTCCTTGACTCCAGACCTCTGGTCGTGCCGGGGGGCCACGAGGGGCCGGCGGTCGGCTCCTCCCGGCCAGCTGCCCTGACCCCATTCCACGGCCCGGCCACGGGCCCGCCTGGACGATCGGGGTGGCTGGGCAGGCCGCAGATTCTCTGCAGCTGCGGCAGCACGCACCCCGATGCCGTGCCGGCCCTGATCCGAGCGCCCTCTCGACAGGCATGCTGGTGTACAACGGCCAGAAGGAGAACACGGGCACCGATTTCGTGTCCTTTGGACTGGTGGGGGGCCGTCCGGAGCTCAGGTGAGGTGCTGGCCGGCGGGCACGGGCAGGGGGGACCAGGCACCCCCACGCAGGACCCCCGGGGCGGCCTGGCGGCGGGCGTGCAACCACGCGGAGGAAGGGGCCTCCCCGCCGGGGCCTGTGGGCCCAACGCGCGCCGGTACAGGGCCGGCCGCGAGGGCTCTGGGTGCGAGAAGACGGCGTCCCGATCGCCAAACGCGCCTCTGCCCCCCCCATCATTGCCTGGGCGCCGGGCTGTCCGTCGCCCCCTGGGTGCGGCCGCCTCGCCCGCAGCAGCCCGGCCCGGGCCACCCAACATGTCTGCGGGGAGCCCCTGGGGTAGGCTGAGCCCGGCCGGCTTGCATGCTGCCCCGGGGCGCGGGGGGCGAGGGGCTGCGGCGCCTCGGCCCCTCCAAGCCGCCTGGTGTTGCAGGTTCGACGCCGGCTCCGGCATGGCCACCATCCGCCACCCTTCGCCCATCAAGCTGGGCAAGTTCCACACGGTCCGGCTCTTCCGCAACCTCACCCAGGGCGCCCTCGTGCTGGACAACCAGCCCCCGGTGAACGGCACGTCCCAGGTGAGCCGCCGGGCGGGAGGGGCCCCCGTCCTCGGGGCCCCGCAGGCACAGGAGCTCTGCCAGCGGCCGCATGCGCAGCCCTCACGCCGCCCCCTCTGCCCCTCCCCAGGGCAAGTTCCAGGGCCTGGACCTCAACGAGGAGCTGTACCTGGGCGGGTACCCAAACTACGCCACCATCGCGAAGACGGGCCTCAGCAGCGGCTTCATCGGTGAGCGCTCTGAGGCAGCCTCCTCGCCTCACCCTACCCCCAGCCCTGCAAGGCGGGCTGCGCCGAGCATGCGACCCGCCGGAGGCCGCACGCCGTGCCGCCCACCCTGGCCCGGGCCCAGGCCCAGGCCTCCCTCGGCCGCCAGCGCTCCTGCCAGCCGGGCGCGGAGCGAGCGTCCCTGCTCCTTCGGCCCGTGTGCTCCGGGCTGAGCCACCGGCACGGAGAGGCCCAGCGGCCCCCGCTGGGCGAGCAGCGCACTGACGGTCCCCAGGGCCGCCCGCCTGAGCGCCCGCCTCCCCTTGCAGGATGCGTGAGGCAGCTGATCATCCAGGGCAAGGAGGTGATCTTCCAGGACCTCGACCTGCAGGCCCACGGCGTCTCCAGCTGCCCCACGTGCCGCGACCAGCCGTGCCAGGTACCATTCCTTTGCCTGTCCCGCTCGACGCTTCCTGCGGCTCTTTTGCGGCCCTCCTTGGCCACGAAGGGGCGCTGCCGAGCTGCCCCTAAAACGGGGCGGCTGATGGAGGCCAGAAAGCCAAGGAGCGGCCCTGCGGGAGGAGGGGGCTGCTCAGCCAGGCCCCCGCATGCGCCTCCCACCGTGGCCGCAAGCGCCCGTCGTCTCTCTCTCCCCGCAGAACGGCGGCCTCTGCCAGGACTCGGAGAGCAGCAGCTACGAGTGCCAGTGCCCGCCGGGGTTCGCGGGCAGCAACTGCGAGCACCCCCAGGCCCTGCGCTGCCACCCAGGTAGGCTGCCCCCCCCGTCCACAAGGGCTCCCCTGCCTGCTCTGCTCCGCCTCGGGGGCCAGCAGCCACGGAGCGTTGCCCGAGCTTGGAGGGGGCGGCCCAGTCCTCCGGGAAACCGCCTTCTCCGGCAGCCGTTTGGTTTTCCCATAACTGTTGGTGACCCAAAAAGCGTGGGGGGGCCTTCTGGGGGGGCAGGCCGTGCTTGCCCGTGGGCCCCCGCCCCTCACTGCCGCCCCCTGCCGTCCCCGCAGAGGCCTGCGGCCCCGACGCCACCTGCGTGAACCGAGCCTCCGGGGAGGGCTACCTTTGCCGCTGCCTGCTGGGCCGACTCGGGGAGAAGTGCACGGCCGGTGAGTGACGGGGCCGGGGCGGGGGGCCAGGGACCGCGGGGCGCCCCGGCTGACCCCGCCCCCTCTGCGCAGGGGCCACCGTGACCACGCCGCACTTCCACGGGGGCGACGCCTTCATCTCGTACCCACCGCTCACCAACATCCACCACGAGCTGCGCCTGGACGTCGAGATCAAGCCGCTCTCCCCCAACGGCCTCGTCCTCTTCAGCGGGGGCGACGGGGCGCCCGTGGCCGACTTCGTCTCGCTCAGCGTGGCCGGCGGGCACGTGGAGTTCCGCTACGAGCTCGGATCAGGTGCGGGCCGCTCTCCCTGCGCCCCGGGGGACCCCTGCGGGACAGGGTGGCACGGCCCCCCTCCACCCCCCTGCTCTGCTCTGCTCTGCCCCCCAGGCACCGCCGTCCTGCGCAGCGCCCGGCCCCTGCGGCTGGGCCAGTGGCACAAGGTGACGGCCGAGCGCCTCAACAAGGACGGTGCCCTGCGGGTGGACGACGAGCGGCCCGTGAAGCGCTCCTCGCCCGGGAAGAGCCAGGGCCTCAACCTGCGCACCGCTATGTTCCTGGGGGGGGTCGACGCCGCCACCCACCTGCCGCCCGCGGCCAACGCCTCCAGCCACTTCGACGGCTGCATCGGAGAGGTGCGCGGGCTCGCGGGAGGAGGGGCTCCGGGCCCCACGGCCCCTCCGTGCTGCGGGGGCGGCCCCGGCACGGCCCCCGCAGCAGGGGGAGCTTCCCCGGCGGGGCCCCGCGACGGGAAGCCGGTGGGGGCTGGAGCGAGGCCGCTGGCGTTCTTCCCCTGCAGGTCTTGGTCAACGGGAAGAAGGTGGACATTTCCTACAGCTTCCTGGAGAGCCGCGGCATCTCACAGTGCGCCGACAGCTCTCCCTGCGACCGCCGGCCCTGCCGGCACGGGGGCAAGTGCCTGCTCACCGGCGAGTATGAGTTCCAGTGCCTCTGCCCGGACGGCTACCAGGGTGAGGGAACGGCGGGCCCTGGCGGCCGCCCCGCTGTGGCTTCGCTTGCCCGCCTTCGGGCCTCGTCCCCCACGCCACGTGCCTGGCCCGGCCTCCTCCTGCGGGCGGGGGGTCGCCCCCGCAGGTCCTCCCAGCCCCTTGTCCAGCGTCTCCGTGTCCCCCTGCAGGGGAGCGCTGCGAGGTGGCCGAGGTTCAGTGCCGGCTCCAACACCCCTGCCTGAATGGGGGCACCTGCCGAGACACCGCCTGTGAGTGCCCCCCGGGTTTCCTGGGCGCCTACTGCGAACACGGTAAGCTCCGGGGTTGTCGATGGATTCTGCATACCGGTTTCCAAAATGTCCAGCCCACCTTTTATCCCGAAGGGATTCTGGGAGCTGGGAACCCAGCATTGCAAACCAACCGACCCAATACATGATAGATGCCTTAAATACAAGAACTTTTCAACCGGGAAGCCCGATAAAAGCCTGGAACGCATCTCAGTGTAAACATCAAATGCATTTTTGGAAATAGTAAAATGCGTCAAAACAGGAAGGTTTAATTTGGGGGAGTGTGGCGGGGCGACCTTGTACGTCACTCGGTCTTCCCCCGACTTGGCCAGTGACCCTGTAAAGCGAGGTGCAGAGTCGGGGGCAAAATCCCCTCTCGGGGCCAGCACTCAGGGCCGTGTTCGGGGCAGGCGGGGTGGGCCCAAAACGGCAGCTGCCCCGAGCGTGGCCCTTCCCGCCACCCCGAGCCTCCGGGGGGGGGGGAGTGTGCGCACGGGTTGCGCACGAGCCGGTCAGCGGTCGCGGCCAAGCTGGGGGGTCCGGGGGAGGGAGAAATTGGGTCTCTGGGCCGAAGGCGCCTCTCCCCGGCGTGAGCCCTGCGCCCATTTCTTTGCCGTGCAGACGAGTCGCAGCGCCAGCTGAACACCGAGTGGGCTCCCGAGGGCAGCGGAGGAAACGGTACGCGGGCCCCGGCCCCGTCGTCTTTCAGGGCGGGGGGCTGCCCTGCCGAGCCTGACCCCAAAGGGGGCTGCGGATGGACGGTGGGAAGACCCCCAGTGGGGGGGGCCGGCTAAGCCAGCACGTGGCCTGCCATCTGCCACAGGGCCACACCTGTGGCGGGGGCCGCGTCCCTCCCTTAGGCGCCACCCCCTCCCCTCCCCTCCCCTCCCCTCTGGCTGCTGCGGTCACCACCGTGGCTGATGGGATCGCTCCGCAGTCCAGCTCACGCGCCCCTCTGATCCGCCAGATGCTCCCGGTCAGTACGGCGCCTACTTCCACGACGGCGGCTACGTGGCCCTGCCACGCCACGCTTTCCCCAGGAGGTGAGAGTGCCCGAGAGGCCCCCACGGGCACCCTGCCCACCCCACCCCCTCCCAGGGGGCACACGCAGCCCCACAAAGCGCCAGCCGCCCGGCGGTCTGAGCCCGGTCGCTGCAGGGCCCCCGAGCGGCCCCCTTCCGCGCATCCCCACCCCGGGCCCTTTCCCTTGCAGCCTCCCCGACGCGCCAGAGACGATTGAGCTGGAAGTGCGGACCGGCTCCCCGAGCGGGCTGCTGCTCTGGCAGGGCGTGGTGAGTGGGGCCGCGGGGGAGTGGGGGGGCGAGGGGGCCCGGCAGCACGGGGCCAGCGGCAGGAGGAGGCGGGCCAGTCCCGCGGGCCTCCTGCCGGCCCCCGTCGGGCCGTCGTGGCCCCTCGGCGCTGCGAAGACCGGCGGCGGGAGGAGAGCCCGCTTGCGCTCTGGGGAAGAGGGCCGCTCGAGGCCGGTTGCCGTGGGGCTGCATGCCAGGCGCCGCCCCCCGCGCACGCCCCCGCCGTGGTCCCCGGGCCACCGCTGCCCGTCTGCATGGCGCAGGCGCCTCCGCACGCCCCTGCTAACCCTGGCCCTCCGTGCACGGCCTCTCCGGGCTCTCTCTTCTTTCCAGGCCACCGGGGAGGAGGGTCTGGAGCAGCATGTTGCTAGCCAGGTACCTACTGGCTGGGCTGGGCTGGGCTGGCTTGCTTGCTTGCTTGGCTGCTGGGGCACATGGGCCGGCTGCCCCCGCATGAGCATGCGCCCCAAGAGCTCGCTGCAGCGGTGCTGCTCAGGCGCCTGGGAGTGGGGGGGGGCAAGGCTTCCGCACGGCCCCTGCCAGCCCTCCCGCCCGGCAGAGGCGGGGCGGCGCTCCTCCCCCCGTGGGGGGCTGCCGTGGGGGCGCCGCACCCCGCCGCTGAGCAGCCTTGGTCTCCGTCGTTGCAGGAGGCGGGGCAGAGCGGCAAGGCGAAGGATTTCATCAGCCTCGGGCTGAAGGAGGGGCACCTGGTGTTCAGGTAAGCGGCGCTGCCCTCGGCCCCCTCCCCGTCGCGTGCCTAGGCGAGGGCGCCCCCTGACGCTGCCACGCCTCCCCTGCAGCTACCAGCTGGGCAGCGGCGAGGCCAACATCGTCTCCGAGGACCCCGTGGACGACGGCGAGTGGCACCGCGTGACGGCGCTCCGGTGAGTGGCCGGGCCGGGCCGTGGAGGAGGTCCCAGCCCCACGCGGGGCAAAGAAACGAGGCGGGCCGGGCTTCCTGTGGGGTCCCGCGATGCCCTCTGGTGGGGCCCGCCGTTCCGCCATGCGGGCCACGCGGGAGCCTCCTCCTCCACGGCGGAAGCCGTCTGGGGCCCTCCTGACCTGCCGCCCACCTCCTTCGCAGGGAAGGGAAGAAGGGCTTCCTTCAAGTGGACGGAGAGGAGATGGTCACCGGGGAGTCAGCCGGCAAGAACATCATGGTGAACACCAGGGGGCCGGTTTATCTAGGCAAGTGCCCTCCACCTGGGGAGCGAGCCGGGCCTCCGTGATGCTTCCCGCAGCTCTGCCTCGGACTGGCCAGCCCTCGCCTCTGGCCCCTTCCAGAGCCCCCCCCCCCCCGACCCCCCCCCCCGCGGAAAGTGCCCTGTGGCGCTCGGAGCAGGTGCCTCTTTGCCGACTGCAGGAAAAGCGAGCGGAAGGGCTGACCGTTCGGTTCGCTGGCCCGTTTTTCCTGCACCCCCCTCCTCCCGTCGCAGAAACGGCTTGAGAAGGAGCGGGCGCATTGCTCTCCCTTGGAGAGAAAGGGCCCGCCGGCCGCAGGAGGAGGGGGCTGTGCCTCTCGGGCGGAAACGGGCGGCCCTGTGGGGGGACGGCCCTCCGACGCATCCCGCCCACGTGGAAGCCGTGGCCCCGCGCCGGAGGGGCCGCCCTGGGGGTTCCACCAGCAGCGAGGTCGGGGAGCAGCTGGCGGGCCCAGCGCCTCCAGCCACGGGCCGGATTCCGTCTCGGAGGGGCCTGGAGGGCCGGGCTGGGGTCCACGGGCCGCAGCCCCCCGCGTAACGGAGCGCTCGGCACCAGCAGCGGAGGCTTGGCGGAGGCGCTTCCGCCCTCGAGAGCCAAGCCGAGCAGAGCAGGCAGACGCGAACGGCCCGCGCCCTCCGCCCCGACCGGCATCTGTGGGCCCCGCGGGGCGCCCACATACTGGGGTGTCCGCACGGGGAGCGTGGGGGCCAGGAGGGCCGCACCCCTGGAGCGACTCGCCGGGCTGACGGCCCCGTTCCCTCCACACAGGGGGGGCCCCCGACATCCGGACCCTGACCGCCGGGAAGTACGTCTCGGGAATCACGGGGTGCATCAAGAACGTGGTCCTCGCCAACGAGCGGCCCGGCCAGCAGCCCCAGCAGCCGGTCGACATGCAGCACCAGGCGGAGGCCCGGCTGAACTCCCGCGAGTGCCCCTCGTAGGCCGGGCTCGCCTCGCCCGCGCCCCACTGCCCTCGGCCGCCACCAGGCCCACTGAGAGACGTCTATTATTATTATTATTATTATTATTATTTTATTATGATGATGATGAATTTTTTAAAGAAAGAAACACAGGAAAATGGTGCTTTGCTCCTCCCAACGTGGAGGGGAGGGGGAGGCGGCGGCTGGTGCTCTTTGTGCGAGCGGCAGAATGGGGGGGCCTTTCCGGCCCATCCCCCCCGCCTGCCGCCCCCACGGGAAGGACGGAGGCAGCACGGCGGACGCGGCAGGGTGGGGAGCTGCCCCAGAAGGCCTGGGTGGCGCTGTGCCGGAGGAGCGTGCCCCACGGGGGGCGGGGGGGGCAGACACGCCCGAGGCCCCCGGCTCCTCCAATGCAGCTGCCAGGCTGGCCCGGCAGGCCATGACCAAAGACAGGCGGCTCCCGAAGGAGACGGGACTCCCTTGCTGGGGTGGGAGGGGGCAGCCACGCGGGGCCCCTGCCACCCCGACTTCCTGCACACGCCGCACTTTTCCCCACCGGCCCCCCCAGGTGGAGGCGGAGGCTTCTGCGCCCCCCACGCTGTGTGATCCTCGGCGGCCCCGGCCACAGGTGAAGCCGGGACGGGGAGCGCGTGGCCACGGGGACCCGGCAGCTCCCACCACACCTTCAGTGCCTTACCGTGCGGGGCCCCAGCGGGCTCTCCGCCTGCCGCCCCACCCGGGCCCCCACTCCCACCTGCAGGGCGAGAGGCCGCGGTGGCCGGGCCCCCCGACCTGGGCCCTGGCTGCCGGACACTCCCAGGCCCCTTCCGGGCGCGCACCGTTCCCTGCAGGGCAGTGCTGGAGGGGGCTGCCAGAGCGCCCCCTCCTCCCCGTGCCACGAGCCCCGGCAGGCGCTCCTGTCCAGCCTCCAGACGGGGGGCACCCTCGCCGGGTGACGGGCGGAACCGAGGACGGGCGCTCCGCACGGCTCCCTCCGCAGACACCGGGGGCAGCCCCGGGCAGGGCCTCGTCCGGCGCCCCGGCGTGTCCCCAGAGGGGCCCTGCGCTGCCTCCTCCGGCAGGCTGTGCGCTCGCGGCCACGCTCCCGCCTTGCCACGCGTGGTGGCCCGGCCCCGCGAACCCGCAACTGCCCCGCAGCCCTCCCGGGGCCAGTGGGGCAGGCCCTGCCGTGCTCGCGTCGCTCCGACCTCGTTCCCAGCTTCACCTCCCCGCCTGCCCCCCTTGTTTTGCCTTTTTCATAAATAAATGGTGCTGAACCCCACGAGCCTGGGGGCGCTGCGTCTCCTCTCTTCGCCACCCTCTGCCGCAGCAGCACGTGCTGGCCTGGCCCCGGCGGGAGCGGGGTGGCGGGCCGGTTTCACCCCCCGGGTGGGAGCCGAGAGCACGATCCTCACCGCTCTGGCCACCGCTTCTCCGGCTGCGTTCCATCCCCAGTGACAGATTCCCCCTGGGACGCCCAGCTGCAGGATTCCCTGGTGGGAGCCGGGCGTTCCCCACTGGTCGTCTGCGACTCGCCGCCAGGAGGGCCCCGCGCAGCGTCACGTGATCCAGCTCCGTGCTGCTTGGGGGGGCTCGGGGGGCAGGGCAGGCCAGGCTTATGGGAGACGGCCGCTCTGCAGTGGCCCCGGCCGCCTCCACGGCCAGAGCCCCCAGTCCAGGGAAACCTGCATCACACAGGGGGCTCGGGGCTCCCCTGCGGGGTCACCTTGGCCAGCGCTCGGTGGCCACGGCAGCATGTGCAGAGGTGGCCGGCGGGACTGTGGCCGGGCCGGCGTCTGCAGGCGCCGGCCCTCCAGAGCAGCCAGCCAGGGTTCCGGCAGCACCAGTACAGCACGGCAGCACCGACGAGGGCGGCCAGCGAGACGAGGAGAGGCTTCCACCGCGCTGCGGAAGAAGAAAGGCGGTCAGGGGCAGGAGAGTGGGGCCGGCCGTGGGGCCCCCTCCGCCGCTCGAGGCCGCCCCGTGAGGCTACCTGCGTCATCCCGGGCAGACCCGCCGGGGGGCAGCAGCCGGCCGTCTCGGGACCTGGCACAGGAAGCCTGGGTTGGCAGGACGCTAGCTGCAGACGGGGGCAGCACAGGGGTGGTGGGGCCTGGGGAGGAGAAGGCAGGGGTGAAGCGGGCGCCCCACTTCCCGGCCGGCCGGAAGCAGCGCCAAAGCCAGGGGCACCCGCCTCCCTCCCCACGTGCGCCGGAGGCTGCGCAGGCCCCGAGCCCTGAAGCAGCAGGGGCAGAGTTCCTCCCTGGCTGCCCCTTCCTTCATGCTCTCCCCCGAGGGCAGCCAGCGAGGGGGGCCGGGCCGCCCAAGCCTCCCCTCCCCTGCCGCAGCCGCGCTCACCTTTGCAGCGGGCCGGCGGCTGGGCAGCCTGGTCCGTGCCGTCGCCACAGTTGTCCACCCCGCTGCCGTCGCACACCAGGCCAGGGGGGATGCAGGCGCCGTTGCGGCAGGGGAAGTAGGACTCGGCGCGGCAAGCCGAAGCGTTCAGCCCTGCGGGACCAGGCAGCGGGTGGGACGGGGCCGAGGGGCCGGACTGGCCTGGCCCCACCGCCGGCCCGGCCGGCCCACCCGCCTTACCGGTCCGGAGGGAGGTGAAATCGCCAACGAAGTCCACACGGGGCTGCTGGCCGCGAGTCACGAGCCGCAGCGTCAGGCGGCTGCCGGTGGAGCGCACGGGCCTGGGGATGTTCGTCCCGCACAGCGCCGTCCCCAGCGGCGTGCCGGAGCGGTCCTCGCCGTCGTAGAAGCGCACGTAGGGGCCCGCCGTGCACAGGCCCGTGGCCTCCCGCTGGCCGGGGGGCCAAGGGGAGCCCGGCGGCTGGGGGCTCTTGCCGGCACCGGGTGCGCCGCTGGGAGGCACGCGCAGCAAGCTGTACACCAGGAAGAAGCGGAACTGGAACTGGACCTTGTCTCGGGGGGACGCAGCCTGCAGGGTAAGCTGGCAGTCCGTGCCAGTGGCCACGAAGTAGAAGCGCCGAGAGTCCCGGTGGGAGGTTAAGATCACCCCATCCCCCTGGAGGGTCTGGCCACAGAAATCGACCAGACTTGCTGTTGGGAGGGAGCGACAGACAGACAGACATCTGAAGCGGCTCTGCACAGGATGTTACGCTTTGAGATTACCTCTGAAGAAGGTCCTGGCCATGCTTGGGGGTGTCCAGCAGGCGCCTAATGGGTTGCAGAACTCCTCAGAGCTGGCCCAGCTCTTAGTGGGTCGTGTGAACATTTCGGAAAGGTGCAGCCCGCACCTGAGATGCGTCCTTGCGCTACGACCGCCCCACCCTCGGCTGCAACTTCCCCACGAGGATGGGGCAGGGAGAATGCTCACTGCAGCCGCAGTCAGTTCTCAAGAACTGCAGGCCGCTTCTCCCGGGAGGCTCACGCCCTGAGAAATCTCTCCGCCTTAACATGCTGAGAGCCTGTACTGTTGTTTAATCCAAAGGAGCACAGCACTTTTAATAGTCCCCTTCAGTGTTACCCAGAAACAATAACCAGATGCAGAATTCCAGCGATCCCATTCCCATTGTTCACACGCACATCCAAGTGAGCACAACCAGCAAGCAGCCAGGAGCTCAAGGGGGCCTCCCCCCCCACACACACACACACACACTTCTGGGGCATTTAATTCAGGCAGCCCGGGGAGCTAGCTCATTCCGGCAACTTGTCACTCCAAACCACCCTGTTCCATTCAAAATGGTTATCTCGAAATGGATTTGGACAACATCCTCAGGAGCAAAACGCTTATCGGTTTTAATGTCACGGCATCCAAAGCAGCCTTTTCTGATAGGCGCTACAGGCTGTGCAGCTTAATCAGCGGAAAGGCGTAGGGGCTCATCCGTCCCGGAGGCTGCACCCTTTCCAGACCTGCCCTGCAACCGGCCTGTGGCCTCCAGCTTAATGTTTCTAGTGCAGGCCCACACAGCTTCCTCCTCGATCTTCCTACTCCCGCATGGGGGTGTTTATTCCTCACCGTTCTGAGATGGAAAAGACCCCCCCCCCAAAGAAGAAAGCAACACGAGTGCTGGATCCACAGGGCTTCTGGCAGAGAAGCAAGGGAAAACAAACTTCAATGTGGCTGCGGTGGGGCCTGAAGACCCCCCCCCCCACGGCCGTTTCTCGCTTCCTGCTGCACCTTGTGTGTTGAAAGGCTGTCGATTAGCCTGCTTCCTCCGGTGACTCTTCGATACCAGCAGCAAATGCTCCCCGCCTTGCTCTTTCCCTGGTAATAGCACCTAAAGCTACTACACCAGAATTCTCTCCTTCCATCTGGCCTCCTCTGAGCACATTTCAAAAGACCGCTGCAGGGTCCTGCTGTTCCCCAGGGGGCGCATCCGGCTGCTTCTTGGGCACCGTCAGGGCAGAACGTACAGTACCAGCGCAGTGAACGGGGCCGTTCAGCTGCTTTCTTGGCAAGGCCAGCAGCACCAGCCCGCGGGGCGCCATGGGCCGGCTGGGGCACCGGAAAGCAGCGCCCGGCATGTGGCTGCGGACTCCGCCACCAGCTCAGCCGGCATGACAGACTGGACTTTGGGTCCACCAGCCGTCCAAGCCCAGCATGCAGATCCTGGGGCAGAGGGCCCGGAGGGGAAACGCGGGAAGCCCCGGAGGGTCCGTCCTACCTGTCCGCATAGCTGAGACCCCCGAGGCCGCGAGGGCCAAGAGAAGCAGCCCTGCGGCCCACCTGCGCAAGCGTCCTCCCTGCTTTTCCTCGCCCATCCTCGCCCCCAGCTCTCCTCCGGGCGCCTCTCGGCACCGGCTGCAGGAGGGGAGAGGCGGGCCGGCCCAGGAGGGTAACAGCTGCGAGAGGCAGGGCTGCACCGGCCTCCCCCGGCACATCTGAGCGGAGGCCGCCTTGGCACGGCCCGCGGGGAGGACAAAGGGGCGCTCGGCAAGCTGCTGGCAGAAGGAACTGGAAACGCTCCCCTCCTGGGTACGCGCCTTTGAAAACACCCGCGACGGCTCCCAGCCTGGCTTTTGTCCTGCTTCACCTCCGCATTCCCCGCTGCTGAGCGCGCATGGCTCCGTTGCCATGGGGATGATGGGAATCGCGGGAGCAGCGCGAGCATCCTGCCAGCCCACGGAGCCCCGCGCCGAGCCGGGCCGGGCCGAGCCCGCCGGCACGCGGAGGAGGCGGGCAGCTGCCTCTGCCCTCGGGGCAAGGCCGGGCCGGAGGATGGCGCTTCAGGAGCGAATTTCGGGGCAGCGCGATCCGAGCCGGAGGGGCACCGAGCCCCACTGCGGCCTCTTCAAGGCCGCTCGCTGGGGGGCGCCCGGCCTGCCCAGCGGCAACCTGCCCCGAGACGCCCGGCCACCTGGCGGCCTCTCCGCCCGCCTCGGGAGCCAGCGGCGGGGCTTCGCTCCGCCGCGCGGGCCCCTGCCTAACCCACGGCCCGGCCTGGCCCGGCCCGCTTCCCCGGTGGTCGGTGGCCCTGCAGCCCGCCCGCCCTGTGCGCTGTCCAGCAGGGAGGCGGGGGCCGGGAAGGGCACGAGGCGCGGGGCCCGCGGAGGGGCCTCGCCCGGACCGGGCGGGCCTTCCCCGGGGGCGCCGCCTTCCGACCGGCCCCGCTCTCCGGGTAGCCGCCGCTCCCCGCCCGCCGCCCGCCAGCGGCCACGCCCCCGAGCGGCGCCCGCGGGGCCGGGGCGGGGGGTGCGCGGC